ACGTGGAATTGCTTTATAGAAGCTACTTGTTTTTCAGGTCCCACTTACCTACGCATCGCTGTCCCTGATCTTCCTGCCTCGTCGCCATCATGGTTATCGTCACCAGGGTGAGTAAAGCTTCAGATTTATTTACCTAACCGAGTAATTTAGATGTATTACTCATTGTAATAATTGCTTTTACAATTTGGATGTCCAACAATAATGGTCGGCAAAGTGTCGGTAAAATATGGAAAATTAATTATGTCGAAACTCACGATAAATTTCGGTGCCTGAATTAGAAGTATCCTCAAGTTTTCTAATTAATTCAGTTCGTAGTCTGGCTTCGATTTTCAAACTTTCTGATCGTTGACGTTACGTGATTTGACTCGCTCAACATAATTTAGAAATTCTAGATCAGGCGTTCATTGAAGGTCCCCTCCTTGTAATGCAAATTAACTGATAACATCTATTATTTATCTAATCTGATTAATTATCTGATTTCCTCATGTTGTGAAGGGATTTATTTAGGAATAAGGAAATAACCCTTCATATTATTCGTCCGTGACTTTTAAATTACCAAGAAAACTGAAAACCCTGGTATGATTTAATGTAAATTATTTTCATTCAATTTATACCTTTAACTGAATAATTTCACTTAACTAATCGCTTTCATCTGACATCGTTTTCACGCAAGTCGATATAGTGATCGCCGCTTAAACCGGTTGTGCTAGTCCAACTCGCCTTCTCCTGAAGTTATGCAAATAGCTTAACACTCTAATGATCACATTTAAACCAGACTAAACCTGTTGTATTCTCAACTATTTGCTATCGCTCCTTGTTGTGCTACGGGCTATGCTCGGTTGACCACAACTTGTCGAGATCCAGCGGGCGTATTATCAACCACCTTTAAACAGATTCGGGCGCTGCCGGTGATCGGATAATTATAAATAATCACGATTTTCGGCCATAATGTAGCGATTTTTACTTGTCAATGAACGCGAATCCGAATGTACGATTAACCCGAAAACTTTCGATCCTTTAGCCTCATTTGAGCCGTGTCGACATGAGCTGAGTCAGTTAGAATTTACGTATAGTTCATTTGCTAACGGGAATTTAATTTATGTAGTTACTAACAAAACATTCACTTCAAGCGAACATTGTTTGTCTTGCAACACGCACTGATACAAAAGTGATTAATAAAAAGTTTTAAAATTAATTTCGGTAATAATAGACAGTTTATTACTAATTTTTACGCGTGAAATCATTTTTAGACAGTATACTACTAATTTTTACGCGTGAAACCATTTTTAGACAGTATACTACTAATTTTTCCGCGTGAAACCATAATTTTTGCGCGTAGTCATTCTAGTTTCGGTCGTGCAGTTAGCCAGTGATGGCTCTAATGTATAATCACATTTGAAGGTTCAGAGCCCCGCCCACTTCCGATGGTTGCGTACAGCGTTCGTGATCTCCGCAACTCGCGCTCGCACGGCCGCTTGTTTGTTGTTGTTACGCAGCGCTGCCGTAAAAACCGCTCACAATTATGAGGTGCTTATTGCACTGATGAGCGCATTACGTTTTTGCGCCTCTGCGAATAAATTAAGGATTTTTTAGTTAGTGTGTGCATATGCATTGTATAGGTTATGGAAAAGCTATTTTAGTGCCGGCGAGCCGCTACATGTGTGCTCATATTTTCCTGGATAAATGGTAAAACAACAATTAATTTCATTAGCAGTTTTGTTTTTGCTCCGTCATATTGACCAAAATTTTATTTTTTTTCCGAAGATGGTGCGATATTTTGCGCAAAATGTCCATCATCAATAACAAAATATTTTGTTTAGTTTTCTAGCTTGCACCAGGTTGATCTTCACAGCCATCTTTCACTTTTAGCAAGCTTTTGGCACTATTTACGGAGCTATTTTGCTTAGCTACTTAGGCAACATTTTGCTTAGCTACTTGAGCAACTGTCCTGCCCAACGCACGTCTCGGTCGAATTACATCAGAATACTAATTAATAGGCGGCCCCAATCTCTGCAGCAAGTATTTGTTTCAGTTCTGTAATTTTCAATTTGAAGTTGAAATATTCACATATATTTAACAAATACAAGTTTTTTTTTATAATTATTTCCATATGCTTCGTGAATGATGCTGAATTTTTTTTTTTTTTTGGAAAAACAGACTATATAGCGTAATCTCATGATTACATCTGTGCACGACGCCTCGTCTCAGACGTGATGAGCTGGGAATGGTGATCATGATTCAAAGTTATACTACTGTAATAAATTTCTTAACAAAATATTAAAACTATTGCGACAATAAAATTAGTGTTCGTCCGTTCAACTATGAAAGATTTGCCCGAGTTTGTACTGAATAAAATTAATTGAGAATTTTATCAAGAAAAGTCAAATTTCTGCCATCTGCAGAGGGTCTGCAAACTTGATATGAAAAATTTTTAGGGAATTCGTTATCTTTTGGGTAATTTTTGCAGAAGTCTGTAGAATCTTATCTTCTCACAGCATAATAATGAAGAATAATTTACAATGAAATAAAAAATATTATGTTGAATGGCCTTAAACATTCATGCATTGCATCAGGAAGCAGGCTGTATTAATCCTCCATTCCCCGCACCAAAAGACGTAAAATGTTTTTGAACAGACTTTGCAAATTTTACGCCTGATTATTAATACTTCATCGAGAAGCTCAATAAATAACCAATTACGAAATACTGTGGAAAACGCCACGACTTCAACTCACGAACAGAAATTTAGTAATGCATTTACGATAACTTCTTTGCATCGAAAATGAAGTGTATAAATGTATTATGCAATCGATGAAACAATTCAGCGATGAGCATGAAGGTGAACAGAACTTTTCATTATGACGCCGAAGCTTGTCTTTGGTCAAACTTAGAAATTACCTACCCATAATTTTCGAAAAGGTTATAAAATAAAATTATTGCGTAAAAATAAAATGATTATCTAAGAGGCCTTGAGCGTGAAAGTATCTGTCCTAGCGTAGCTCGCAGGTGACCGGATGCTCGAGAGGGCGACGTGAAGCTTCCCGGCTACACCCACCGGGCCCTGAGGTAGTCATAGTAGCGCCGTCGTCATGGTAGGTCTTGTCGGACCTGGTGCGAAGTAATCATCACTGAAAACACGATATGTGTAATATCAGCTACTTTCAGGCGCATAAATTGTTCAAAAGAATTGTGTACGCACTATATCCTGTAGAACAATGTTGTATAAAACTCTGCTTTATTGGAAAAGCTGCGGTGAAACTAGGCCAGCACGTAAATGACTGAAAACTTGGTCTTGTGTAACTGTTATTATCAGGTTTTGTGCAGATCTCGTGATTGAATAATTTTATTATTAAATTAGTACCGATGTCCAACATCGTTCGCGGATCAGTTTTCAATTAATAAATATTGCAGATTGTTAACTATTCGAGTGTGTTATTATAGTTTTAAAAATTGAGGACTTCAAGTGAGTGAGTGTTTCGAACTATTTTCAAAGCAGCGATGATAGACTTATTAGGATTGTCCGATAGCTGCCTAATGTCTCGACTTTTTCTAAGAAATCCTATATATTTTCTCTTTTTATCGTGTTAATAACTGTCTTGAAACATTTTGCTTCCTCTTCCTTTTGTCGTGCAATTGATAGATGTCCTTCCTGTCAGCACAGGAAGCTACTAAATATTTAGGAGATACGGTTCATGTCGATAGCTGCGTTCACTCTTTGTTTCTCTTTGTTAACCTGTGTGACCCAATCATAGATGGCTTTTGTTCCTGTCTGCAGCTGGTAGCTCAGAGTTTGTATGAAGAGATTAAACATAGTTTTTCTCTTTGACATTATGTTCCAAGTATCCTCTCGGTAATGAGAGGATTCACCTTTCCGAGTATCCTAACACCTTTCTTATACGACTCTATATGCAGACACTGTGTTATCAAACCTTTCGAGCGTATAGTTATAGAAATTTTTTTGAAAAGTTTTGTCTTTTTCATCTAATGTGCAAGAATTGGCCCTTAATGTTCGTGACCGCCCGGAATCTGCGCGTGGATCAGTTGTAGGGGTAATTCTGTAGGGTTGATTCTTGATCACGCGATCTACCTCTGTTTTGCTGCAGTAGACGCAGCGTCGAGCTCAGATATTGATCGTACACGTAGCAAAAACGGACACTAGCTGCTAGTTTGAAACTAAAATATAACATGGCTTAGAAGTGAGCTATAAATTCCGCAACACATACGCCCATAACTTTCCTAATACTATTATCTGGCTGCTTCGGGAATATGATTCGATTCGAGTTTTTGGTTCGTGTGGTGAATTAATGATGAATTCACTCATGAATCCTGTCGCACCTACTTCGTTTAGGGTACGAGTTCGTTTCCATTTGTAATCATGGTTCAATGCTGGTGATTTAATTTATAATTAATAGGTTAAAGGGAGAAACAATCATTAGTATTTATTTGATTGCTATACAGTAAATGCAAATATATAAATAATTTAATACAGATGAAAATTCTCACAATATTCACCACTTGTTCACTGATAACAATCGGGAGACCATCTTCATCGTTAATGTGAAAATTAACTCGTAATATGTGAGCTTCACTTGGTTTCCACGTATTCAGGGCAATATATGCTGAAGAAGTTGTTTGGTGGTCGCTCGCATGCCCAGTCACGTGAACGGTCCTTGAGCTGCATCGCAAGCCTTGACTTTATCCCATGGCATACCTCGCTATAACGCGACTTCTAAACAATGGACTTAGGAAGCTGCCTCCAGTTAACTTGTGTTAGAAAATTCCGTGATGTTTAGCTACAAATTCAAAATAAATTCATGTCTCGATGTGCATAACGAAAATTGGTTGTATGTGTTTTCATATGTGCTCGCAAAAATTGATCGGTTTGTTATCGTGGGTTATTTAGTGCTTTTACTATGTCGATTGTTGACATGTTCAGATGAGTGTGTTCTAGTGAATTACATAGGAATATAGCAAGTAACAAATTATATATGTCCAAAATTGGAGCCGCGAAGTAAGGAAGACGTGCCATTATAATCTCATGCAGTGTTTTCAAAGTGAACGATTTTGGTCATGACTTAAGATTTATTGTTAGTGAATCAAATATTTCAACGTCATTAAAAATTCTGGACAGCTGTGCTGATGAAGAGCAACGCTTTAGTATGAAAATTAAGGAGAATCGTTGACAGTAGAACTAGCGATGCCTCATTATTCGAGCATTCGAGAACGAGCGAGCGTAAGCGCGCTGTGTAATATTTATGAGACTGAGGAGCTAAAGAAGAATAAAGCCTTCAGGTACTTCACTGCAGCGTCTGACTCCAGGGTTCTTGTTGTGGACCCAGAGGCAGGAGTACACGACGGTAACTGGAGAGATAATCGACACTCGGATGGCAAGAGCGTTGAGTTTATCACGGCCACCGCGGTGCGTTTCTTACCTGCTGGAATTATTGTTTAGTTCCAAAAACTATTTCCGGTTCATTCTGTAGTTTTAATCTTTGGTCTTTCATCAGAAAATAAAGGTTTACCATGGTTTCTGCCGATATTTTGGCCGTTGACTAGTCGTTTTCTGATTGAAATTATGTAAAATTTGAAAATTGTAATCTTAAAATGAAACTTGAAATTCGAATAGGTAGCTTCACGTTAAATGCACATATACATATGAAATCAGTCTTTGCTTGTCAGCAGGGTCTGCACCAAATATATATTCGCTGGCTGTATGCGAATAATCACAGATCAAAACCATTGTTAACAAATTTATCTCTTTATCGGAAAAAAATTGCCGTCGAATAAGATACGGGATCACGCTGTGAGTGTTATCTCTATTTGCTGTTGCTGTTACATCGCCCCTGACCCTAGTTCATTTGTCCCTCCTGCATGGTGCTCGTTAGGAATTGCTTTAATCGCTTAGAGCGCCAGGATTAATCCCGATAATTATAAATCAAATATTTGGTTTGGTCCCATGACTCGGTTGGGAAACGCGTTGATTTCCAAATTAACATAATGAAGTTTGACAGTTGAAGTGTGAAAAGAACATGAAGGAAAATATATATCCACAAGATGAATTCGCGTCGATTGTAAGTCTATGCATAATGAGCGTTTATGATTTATTAGCTTTACCATTCGCGTCGTTATAGAAACCCCTAAGACACACATCAGCTGATACATTTTTTGTTCTGGAAGCATTTAAAAAATTTTGTATTCCTCAAATTAAATAATTTACAGTACGAACGATTGCTGATTTGGTCCGCGCTTTAAACCTTATTTCCCCATTCAATCAAATGTAGATTGACCGATGCATCAAAAACTTTCTACGACTATCTATTAAGAGGTGATCACACCAAATAAATTTATTGCTCGTGGTATTTCTTAAGAATTTAATCGACTCGCGTTTGTGCCTCTGAAAAATGGTTTCAGCCAAGGAAAAATTCATTGAAGTAACGCACCTTGAAGCCCAAATATGCACATAAAAATTGCTCAAAAAAGCCGGGTTTGTAGCTGCATACCAAATTTTTGCATGTAAGCGATTACGTGAACGGCGGGGAATTGTTACGCGACATGAATGACACGAATACGAAGATCTGGGATTTTAAACTGGGTACTGATTTACTAAGATGACACGAGTACTCAGTAAGGCAGGTCGGATTTCTTTCGAAAATGTTTATCAAGAGGACACATAAAATCTTCGCACACAAGCTTTGTTATGACTGATGCGTTTGTGCGCAGGGAGACTACATCTGGATCGAGCCCACCTCTCGCCGGGAGTTCGACGTGGCCATCGGAGCTCGCGTCGTCAGCGCCGAAGGACGCAGAATACAAGTCAAGGATGACGATGATAATGTGAGTCTTGAGTTGCACAAAACTTTAAAATAAAATAAAAATTAATAAATTTAAAAATTCTTTGTTTAGATGAATATTTTGTAGCCATTTTAATGAAACGAAGTGTGCACATATATACTCGGCTATGATATAGCTCGACGAAGCTATATTAAAAAATCCATATGCATCCATCATTAATAAGTAGATATGTAATTAATATTTTTAGAACTAAGAAAAAACAACAATTTTGCGCTTCGTGTTTTATTTCAGGAGTTATGGCTTACGCCGGAGCGTCGCATCAAGGCGATGCACCCGACGTCTGTTCAGGGCGTCGAGGACATGATCAGCCTGGGCGACCTGCACGAGGCTGGCATCTTGCGTAACTTGCTCATCAGATACAACGAAAACCTCATATATGTGAGTCATGTTAAGGGTTCTTATGAGGCGTACATCCTGCATAACCTGCTCATCAGATACAACGAAAACCTCATATATGTGAGTCATGTTAAGGGTTCTTATGAGGCGCACATCCTGCATAACTTACTCATCAGATACAACGAAAACCTCATATATGTGAGTCATGTTAAGGGTTCTTATGAGGTGTACATCCTGCACAACCTGCTCATCAGATACAACGAAAACCTCATATATGTGAGTTATTCTTTGGAATGGTGGAAACGGCACGAGACTAGCATCCTTCATAACCTGCTCATTAGACACATGGACAATTGACATACGTGAATCATGTCCGCTACAGGTGGGCAGCCTTCATAGCTTGCTTGTCGTATTCAACAAAAAATTCATCCACGTGTCATATTACGAATATGATCATCATGCATTTCATGCATAACTTCAGACTCGTAAGGCGTGCGTAAATTTTTCCAGACCTACACGGGCTCGATTTTGGTTGCAGTCAACCCATACCAAATTCTGCCAATTTACACCGTCGAGCAAATCAAGCTGTACAGGGGCAAGAAGATCGGAGAGCTCCCGCCACACATCTTTGCAATTGGCGACAGCTGCTACAACAACATGAAGAGATTCAGACAAGACCAATGCATCGTTATCAGGTAAAATATTCCGTTTACTCATTCTTCGAGTCCAATAGTAATTTGAATGAGAGTCAGGGAATGCCTGCAGAATGTCGCTTTCGGATATCTAGAAGACGATAAATCTTTGCATTTGACTGACTTCGATTTTTGTTACATTTTTTCTTCTAGGCAGCAACCAATTGTTTTGTATTTGGTGTCTTGTAGTCCAAAGCTCATTAAGTATTCCGTAGCAATAAATTCGATTCTTGTGCTACATTAACAATTGAGTTTTTTGGCAACTTTTCCAGTGGTGAGTCTGGAGCCGGCAAGACTGAGAGCACGAAGCTCATCCTACAATACCTCGCCGCCATTTCCGGCAAACACTCTTGGATTGAACAACAAATTTTAGAAGCGAATCCTATTCTGGAAGGCGAGTATTTTGGTTCATCTTATAATTACTTGAATATTATTGACATTTCATGTATTTCTTGATATGATGGACGCAGAAAGTTTTGAATAATGCTGCATTGCTCAAATTACCTAGGGTGAGCAAAAATGAACGAATTGTACACAAAATTATTAATTAATGAATTTCTTCTTCTATTCAGCTTTTGGTAACGCCAAGACCATCCGAAACGACAACTCTTCAAGATTTGGCAAGTACGTCGACATCCACTTCTCGAAAGAAGGTGTAATAGAAGGCGCTAGAATAGAACAATACCTTCTTGAGAAGTCCCGACTTGTGTCCCAAGGTTCTGATGAAAGAAACTATCACATCTTCTACTGCATGCTTGCCGGCATGACGAGGGAGGAAAGACAGAAACTGGAACTTTCAGATGCTTCCAACTACAGCTACTTGACTGGGGTGAGCATAAAATTAGTTAATTGGGCCATTTTGTGCGTATGATGTAATATTTTGATGTATGCGGTAATGTTTTGAGATAAACGGCGTATCTTTTGCAGCTGACTTCTAGATTCATCTGTGTGTTGCCAAGAATGTTAAGACTTCTTCTCGGATGCACTCTCCGTATTAATGTGGGAAAGAAGTGCAATTTCCTTACACTTTGTGGAATTGAATTATTGCCACGGTGTTGTGTGTTGGGTGCTTGATGCCAACATTGCCCAAAAGCTGTGAGAAAACAATATTTAGTTTGAAAACAAAAACAAACTTCATGAAATTAGATATGTTTCTCGAACAGTGTAATAAATTTCGTCGTCTGTAGTCACTACGCTAATTTTGACAGCATGAAGAGAGTGCGGGCTGGACGCAGTCGTGCTGTCCATTCACCAACTTGAATTTGTGATGATTTCTTCGTTGGAAAGGATTGCGCGGTGCGCTCTGCTCAAGCACGACTTGGACATACATGAATATCAATTCAAAATAACCGCAGCTAATTCAAAAACGATCGATTCATAATAATTTCTGAATCATAATAATTATTATACAATTTAACATATTAAACTATCGGTTAATGTTCGAGGCAATCCGAGAATAATGTGCCTATGTGCGCCTATTCAGGGCGGAAGCATCACGTGCGACGGCCGTGACGATGCCAGGGAGTTCGCCGACATCAGATCTGCCATGAAGGTCCTCATGTTCAGCGACTCTGAAGTCTGGGAGATCCTTAAGCTGCTCGCGTCTATCCTCCACATGGGCAACATCAAATTCAGGGGCAAGGTTGTCGGTGAGTTTTGACAGATCGGGATCTGAATGAGCAATTCTATGCTTGTGGTCAGTCATTTGCGTTCTTTTAATCCAAATAATGCTGTCATTGCAAATTATTCATTTAAACTGCCAGAAGTTCTGTTTAGAATAAATTAAAAGTCCAAATTTGTCTTGGACCTTTGAGAAATGCAAAAACTATCATTTATATTAATTGATGTTTAATGTCAAGTCCTTAAATCGGAAATATTTTATGTTTTCAGTTAGACAGATGCACCTGGACATTTTTTAGTCTGCTTAGTCGTAATAATTATGAAGCTTGTTAAAAATAGGAGTCAATTTGTAAATAGCAAAGGCATTTGTCATGCTCTTTGATTACAAATGTACAATTTTACAGTTTACCTCATTATACTAATCGCCTAAATTCTTCGTCTAAGCCAAACGAATTTAATAAATAAAATCGTCAAGGTCAAAATGTGAACATTCGCTATGAAAGTAAACTATTTTAGTTCCATGGAAATACGGTTGATTTTTTAAAATGTTTCTTCGCAGACAACCTGGACGCGACGGAAGTGCCAGACATGACATCCCTGATCCGAGTCGCCAAATTCCTCGGTTTGGACTCCCGTAACCTGAAGGAGGCCCTCACACTGAAGACCATCTTCGCTCAGGGCGAGACTGTCGTGAGTTCACGCTCTGTGCTGCATTTACATTTTTAATTATAAGATATTTCACATTCGTCTGTGCCAGGTGCATGGGTAGTGATCTGAGGTTGAGCTTTTAAAAAAAGTTTGTTACTTGGGTAATTAACTAAGATTACGTTTGATATTTCATTTGTGTATTTTTTGTATATGCTCTGTTTCATAGATCTTTTCTCAAAAATAAATTATGATTAAACCTTTCTGTTTATATAATCGTTTATTGGATAATTCGCAATGCTCACTCAAATGTGACGAAAATGAATGCTAGGAAGTAAATTGTAGAACAGCGTATTTCCTACATTTCTGTCAGGTCTCCACTCTGAGCCATCGCCATGCGATGGACGTAAGAGATGCGTTCGTCAAAGGTATCTACGGACGACTCTTCATTTGGATCGTCACTAAAGTCAACGCCGCAATTTATAAACCTCATTCTCAGACTAGGACGTCAATTGGTATTCTCGACATCTTTGGCTTTGAAAACTTCAAAATAAACAGGTGTGTTTGGAACAATTCCTGTGACCAGAAACGAGCCCCGATTCGGTTTTTACAATGCGAATACCTCCGTTATGATTGAAAGTTTTAAATGTTTTAACAGTGAAAGTTTTAAAGTCCATAAAATGTTTTACGCCAGATTGATTGACTTTTTATAGAATGTTATAAAAATAATCATAATAATTCCTGGTTTTTCAGTTTTGAACAGTTCTGCATCAACTACGCAAACGAGAACTTGCAGCAGTTCTTCGTGCAGCACATCTTCAAGCTGGAGCAGGAGGAGTACAACGCGGAGAACATCAACTGGCAGCACATCGAGTTTGTCGACAACCAAGACACTCTCGACATGATCGCCATCAAGCAGCTCAATATCATGGCTCTCATAGACGAAGAATCAAAGTTCCCCAAGGTAATATTACATGTAATATCTATTACAATCTTTCTTTCTCTATTCTTTCGCTATTTGATCTTTAACAATATTTCTTTCTCTATTCTTTACCAATCTTTCTTTCTCTATTCTTTCTATATTCTTTAACAATCTTTCTCTTGGTTCAAATTGTTGATATATTTTGAAATTTATGCTATAAATATGAAAATATAGGAGGTTCCAGAAATGTGTTTTACTACACTCATTACGGTATGTAAATTGTATCTCATGAACAGGGAACTGATCACACGATGTTGCTGAAGCTGCACAAGCAGCAAGGCTGGAACAAGCAATACCTGAAACCAAAGTCTGACTTGAATCACTCCTTCGGCATCAATCATTTTGCCGGGGTTGTGTTCTACGATACCAGAGGTGAGATTTAATCCCTACCGTCTGCAATCCGTACCCTTAATCTCCTAATCCGCCCATCAAATTTCTATCTATTAAAATAGTAGTAGTAGAATATTTTACGATATTTACTTTAGTGTGATTTAGATATATTTTCTGGAAGATCGAATGCTTCTGTTTTACCGTTTGTTTTTAAAAAAGGTTTCCTAGAGAAGAACCGTGACACGTTCAGCGCCGACTTGCTGCAGCTAATCCACAACACGAGCAACAAATTTCTCCAGCATTTATTCATCGATGACATCAGTGAGTCTTTCACAGTGAATAATTCTTGCGTTTTGATCTTCCGCAGGTCCATCGATTTCGTTGAAATTGGTAGAGAATGAAAAGAGCTTCATTTGCGTTTTTTAGCTACCATTTACCAAGTTATTTGATATTACTAAGTTAGACTCGGAAAAATTTTATTAGGTGATGAAATTGGAATACATTTAATGGGTTTGCTTTAACAGGCATGGGTTCAGAGACGAGGAAGCGAGCTCCTACGTTGTCGGCTCAGTTCAAAAAGTCTCTAGACGCCCTCATGAAGACCTTGTCCAACTGCCAGCCCTTCTTCATCCGCTGTATCAAGCCCAACGAGTACAAGAAGCCCATGGTGAGCACACTCCTCATGATCTGCATTACTTTTACTTCCGTTTACTGTGCGTTTTCTTCCGTTTAGTTTTTCTCGTATAATCTGCCATGTCCTATTTATCTAAAATCCATGCTTATAAAATTTTAAATTAGCAATATAACTTCTTTTACGGTTTTCCCGCAACGATTTATATCGCCAAATCTGTTTGTAAATCTCGATAAATGCAAAGATATATTTTTAGCGCATTTTCTCATTCATGGAAAAAATTCACTATTGTGCTCGAATGTCCGTCCGTCTGTCTTTCCGTCCGTCTGTCTGTCCATCCGTAACTTCACGTTTTCGTCGACGAGAAAATGCGCTCTCTAGCTGTCACTCACTGCAGTGAGTACTGAGTTATATTTTTTCAGTTTCTTACCAGCCAAAGTCGTTTAAGAACACATTAAGTTACGCTGTATCTTCCATTCAAGTAGCAATTCTTCAATCATGATACTATTCCTTCGATCCTTTTACTTGCCAAAATTAGCCGTCCACATTCTCTTCAATAATCTTGCGTACTTCGATTTTTGTCGTATCAGTCATCGAATCTCACAATGAGATTCGTAACTTTGCTGTTTCATCTCAGTTGTTCGACCGCGAGCTGTGCTGCCGCCAGCTGCGTTACTCCGGCATGATGGAGACCATCAGGATCCGCAGGGCGGGCTACCCCATCCGCCACACCTTCAGGGAGTTCGTCGAGCGCTACAGGTTCCTCATCCACGGATGCCCGCCCGCTCACAGAGTAATTTGCGTTGACCTTTAATTTCATGGTATTAATTCATAGATTTTGATCATTAGAGCCAATAATTAAGGATTTATTTTACAACAGGCCATGGGCCTATTTTTCAGTGCCGACACTTCTATTCTATTATATATCGAGCTAGCTATTATTGAACCCTCAGGTTGACTGCGTTTCCCCTAATATTGCAAAACTTGTGACGATCTTTGTATTCAAGCTTATCTATTTTAATACAATAATCAGGTTGACTGTTTTGCTGCGACCACAAAAATTTGCCGGGAGGTGCTGGGAAAGTCGGACTATCAGTTGGGCCACACTAAAGTTTTCCTGAAGGATGCCCACGATCTGTTCCTGGAGCAGGAGAGGGACAGAGTCCTGACGAGGAAGATTACCATCCTGCAGCGATGTGTTCGAGGCTGGTACTACAGGAGGAGGTCAGTTTTTAAGAGGAACCTATTCCTCATTTTTTAACGCTTTTGAACTTAATAAATAAGTTATAGCCAAAAGAATTTATTCATGAGAAAATAATACGATTTACCTTACAGATGAAGTTACATCACGGATTTTCATTGTTTTCGATCCCCAACAGAAAATTTCGTTATAATGCAAACTTGCAGCCTCATCACATCTTTATGTTCTGGACAGATTTTGAATTCTAGTAAGAACCACTTATCCCCAGTATCAAAATTCTTGTTTGGTGGAAAATTATATTTATTAAAATATTTCCTCAACCTAGTGCACAATCTCTCCCGCTCCCGTTTCATACATTTTGTTCGTAACCATATTTTATGCAAATATCTTTAAAATAAATACTTTTATGTTTGACAGGTACAAGAAAATGCGTGAGAGTGTCATAATAATCCAGAAGAACTGGCGAGCCTGGGCGCAGAAGAGGCGCTACAAGAACATGCGTGTTGGCTACATGCGCCTGCAGGCGCTCATCAGGTCGCGGGTTGTGTCTCATCGCTTCAGACACTTGCGCGGCCACGTCGTCGCCCTGCAGGTAGCTTCAATTGCATGGTGGCTTCTGTGTACAACATAAAGTGAACTTTAGTTCGTTTTGTGATCAGATGTCACTTGAAAGTAATTTATTGCCAGTACCAAGTTTATTGTCCGAGGAAAAATTATTATATTATAATGTACACAAAATAATAATTCTAAGGGTCTTGCACTAATTTCGAGCACAATTTATCATCACTATAATATTTTGGACCATGTCTTGTTTTATTAGGGAGACGTTTACAGTCGATTGAAGAAAACATGATTTGTTAGGAGAATTTATCTGGGGACATATGACAGGAAATTGAAGAAGTGATTCATCTAGAATAAGTGCAAATCAGCTGTGCGAATATATTAAAGAAAAAATACAAGCCACTGAACATAAACAATTCATAAAAATATAACTGCTATAATTATCCTTGTGATTGAGAAAGTTTAAAATTTTGATAAATTGTATTTAAGGGGAATGAAATTCAGCTGTAGCACTGTCGAGTAAAAACTAATACGAATTGGTAACGCAAATGTTGCGTCCCAGGCCCGCTGTCGAGGCTTCCTGGTACGTCGTGAAGTGGCGCACCGCATGTGGGCGGCGACGAGAATACAGGCGCAGGTGCGCGGGCTGATCGCGCGCCGGCAGTACCGGCGACTCAAGAAACGCGTAGAAGCCGCGAGACTCAAGGAAGAGGAGGAACAGGCGCTCAGGAAACAAATGAACAAAAAGAAAGCCAAAGAAATAGCTGAAATTCAGTACAGGGTGAGTGTTTTACATGAATTTTCTTGCATAATTTTCGACTTTACTGGAAACAGTGAATTTGATGTTTTGCTAGTTGTGTTGACCAGGCCTGTCATAAGGCTAGATCAATCAGGAATTAATTCTGAGAATGAATGAATTATGTTCGGTTTCTTTAAAGAGTTGCTCACTAAGCCCAATGCTACTACGTTATGTGCGGATTCGGACGAAAAATACGAAAGAAAAAGGCGTCGCACTTGACGATCAAAAATAGCGTTCTTCATTTTAGTTCCTTAATTTTTGTCGCAAGCCACATTTTTAACTTCAAACTACCGCTTTTTCGCAGGAGCGAATGGTGCAAATGGAGCAAGAAGAAGTTCTCAGGACGCAGAAGGAGCGAGAGCTCCTAGAAAAGAAACGTCAGCTCGTCCACGATGTCGAGAGACGACGAGACGAGCCGGTGGACGATTCCCAACTTGTCGAGCAAATGTTCGACTTCTTGCCAGACTCTGCGTCAGAGACGCAAGTGCCTCCCACGGCTTTCAAGGTTAGCGTTCAATTCTGTAAAGCCATGAATCATCTGTTTAATCGTAATTCTTCATTACTACGTTCTATAAATTCGATTATCTGTCGGGTGATTGTCGGGGATTTCAGTCACCCGACTGAACACCCAACTTGTGTTCAGAACACATTTCGCTTGTGTTCAGTCTGAGTTTATAGTAATATGCCCAGTAAATTTTTGCAAATTCTAAGGTATAAGATATTGAAGTCTCCTATCGTTTGATCGTGTTCAGAAGCAGATATCGCTTGTGTTCAGTCTGAGTTTATAGTAATATGCCCTGAATATTTTTGTGCAAATTCTAAGGTATAATATATTCAAGTTTCCTAACGTTTAATAAGTCTTCTAACGTTTTATTCTGTTCACAAGCCGATATCGCTTGTGTTCAGTATGAGATTATAGTAATATGCCCAGTGAATTTTTTGCAAATTTCAAGGTATAATATATTTTAGTCTCCTATCGTTTGATCGTGTTCACAAGCAGGTGTCGCATGTGTTCAGTTCAAGATTATAGTAATATGCCCAGTAAATTTTTGCAAATTCTAAGGTATAAGATATTGAAGTCTTCTATCGTTTGATCGTGTTCTGAAGCAGATATCGCTTGTGTTCAGTTTAAGATTATAGTTATATGCTCTGTAAGTTTTTGTATTTTCTGAGGTATAATATATTTAAGTCTGCTATCGTTTGATCGTGTTCACAAGTAGATATCGTTTGTGTTCAGTCTGAGATTATAGTTATATGGCCAGTAAAATTTTGCAAATTCGAAGGTATAATATATTGAAGTCTCCTATCGTTAGATCGTGTTCAGAAGCAGATATCGCTTGTGTTCAGTCTGAGTTTATAGTAATATGCCCAGTAAAATTTTGCAAATTGTATGATATAATATATTTAAGTCTCCTATCGTTTGATCGTGTTCACAAGCAGATTTCGTTTGTGTTCAGTCTGAGATTATAGTAATATGGCCAGTAAAATTTTGCAAATTCGAAGGTATAATATATTTGAGTCTCCTATCGTTTGATCGTGTTCACAAGCAGATATCGCTTGTGTTCAGTCTGAGATTACAGTAATATGCCCAGTGAATTGTTTGCAAATTTCAGGGTATAATATATTTGAGTCTCCCATCATTTGATCGTGTCCACAAGCTGATTTCGCATGTGTTCAGTTCAAGATTATAGTAATATGCCCAGTACAATTTTGCAAATTGTATGATATAATATATTTAAGTCTCCTATCGTTTGGTCGTGTTCACAAGCAGATATCGCTTGTGTTCAGTCTGAGATTATAGTAATATGCCCAGTGAATTTTTTGCGCATTTTAAGGTATAATATATTTGAGTCTCCCATCATTTGATCGTGTTCACAAGCTGATTTCGCATGTGTTCAGTTCAAGATTATAGTAATATGCCCAGTAAATTTTTGCGGTATAATATATTTAAGTCTCCTATCGTTACATCGTGTTCAGAAGCAGATATCGCTTGTGTTCAGTCTGAGTTTATAGTAATATGCCCAGTAAAATTTTGCAAATTGTATGGTATAATATATTTAAGTCTCCTATCGTTTGACCGTGTTCACAAGCAGATTTCGTTTGTGTTCAGTCTGAGATTATAGTAATATGACCAGTAAAATTTTGCAAATTCGAAGGTATAATATATTTGAGTCTCCTATCGTTTGATCGTGTTCACAAGCAGATATCGTTTGTGTTCAGTCTGAGTTTATAGTAATATGCCCAGTATGTCTTTGTAAATTCTAAGAGATAATATATTGAAGTCTCCTAACGTGTTTTCCTGTACACAAGCCGATATCGCTTGTGTTTAGTCTGAGATTATAGTAATATGCCCAGTGAATTGTTTGCAGATTTTAAGGTATAATATATTTAAGTCTCCTATCGTTTGATCGTGTTCACAAGCAGGTATCGCATGTGTTCAGTTCAAGATTATAGTAATATGCCCAGCAATATTTGCGGTAAATATATTTAAGTCTCCTATCATTTGATCGTGTTCACATGCTAATTTCGCATGTGTTCAGTTCAAGATTATAGTAATATGCTCAGTAAATTTTCGCGGTATAATATATTTAAGTCTCTAATCGTTAGGTCGTGTTCACAAGCAGATATCGCTTGTGTTCAGTCTGAGTTTATAGTAATATGCCCAGTAAATTTTTGCAAGGTCTAAGGTAAGATATAATGAAGTCTCCTAACGTTTTATCCTGTTCGCAAGCCCATATCGCTTGTGTTCAGTCTGATATTATGGTATTATGCCCAGTAAATTTTTGCAAATAATAAGGTATTATATATTTTAGTCTCCTATCGTTCGATCGTGTTCAAAAGCATATTTCGCTTGTGTTCAGTTTAAGATTATAGTAATATGCCCAGTCAATATTTGTAAATTCTAAGGTATAAGATATTGAAGTCTCTTAATGTGAGATCGTGTTCAGAAGCAGATATCGTTTGTGTCAGTCCGAGATTATAGTATTATGACCAGTAAATTTTTGCAAATTCTATGGTATAATATGTTTCAGTCTCCTATCGTTTGATCGTGTTCACAAGCAGATGTCGTTTGTGTTCAGTTTAAGATTATAGTAATATGCTCAGTAAATTGTTATATGTTCTAAGAAATAATATATTTAAGTCTCCTATCGACTGATCGTGTTCAAAAGCTGATATCGCTTGTGTACAGTCTGAGTTTATAGTAATATGCCCAGTAAATTTTGTAGATTCTAAGGTATAATATATTTAAGTCTCCTATCGTTTGATCGTGTTCAAAGCAGATTTCGCTTGTGTCCAGTTTAAAATTATACTAATAAGCTCAGTAAATTTCTCTATAATTTAATCTATGATAAATTTGGGTTTCGTATCGCTTGTGTTCAGTTTAAGATTATAGTACGCGTATCACTTAAGACATATTTCTGTACTAAATAGTGTGACATATAACCTAAGTCCACAATTGTTTGGTGGTCTCCAGACAGACATCGCCTGCTTTCAGTTTGCGACTGTAGTTGTATGTGCCGCAAATCTTTCTATATTCAAAAATGTACAATACTTGAGTCTCCATCGTATGTTCGTCTTCAGACTTGAATATAGCTTGTGTTCAATTTATGATTATCATAGTATGCTTAGTTTTTACTTTATATTCTAAGGTGTGATATACTAGTCTATATCTTGAGTCCCTATACATCGCTAGTCTACAGACGTAGACATCAGTAGGTGATCATGTCTGAATGCTCAGTAAATTTGTCAATATTCCATTGTGAGATATTTACTTAATTACTTTATCGTTTATTCGTCTCCAGACGTAGATATCTCTTTATTTAGTTTTTGACTATATTAGTATGCTCAGTAATCTTTTTTTAAATCTTAAGGTGTGATATATTTCTCAAGTCATCTAAAGTTTAGATTTCTACAGACGTAAATATCGCATGTTTTCAGTAGGTGACTAAAGTAATATGCTCAGAAATTTTCCTTTTAAATAGATAGTGCCCATCATTGGCTCGTATTCAGACGTAGCAATCGCTTGCGTTCGGTAACATAACATGACATAACATAGTGATCTCGGCGCTGCAGTGTAGGCCTGATGTGGCTTGTCGCCGATTCTTTTCCTCTTCGTGCCTTGTTCACTGAAGATCTAAAATCGTGTCATTTGACCGGATTTTTTCATGACTGGCGATAGTTTGAAGTAGCTACTCGACTTCCACCGGGTTCGATATGGTGCTAGGCATTTCAAATCTGAACATATATTATTCCATAGCTTTATCTAGTCTGTTCTTGAACGCGTTCATACCTGGAGCGCCAACGATGTCATCGGGGAGGCTGTTCCACATGTCGGTGATTCGAAGCGAGAAGAAATTTTGTCGCGTGGAGAAGTTGCAGCGCAATTTTTTTAGTATATAGCTGTGGCTCTTGGTGTTGGTTCTTGTTTCAAATTCTAGTAATCCTTCGGGGACCTTGGATAAACCATGAGTATACTTATATACTTCAATGAGGTCCCCACGCAGACGTCGATAACTGAGGCTTGGAAGCTTCATAATCTTCAATCTTTCTTCATAGGACTTGCCCTTCAAGCCTGGAATTATCCTTGTTACGCGCCTTTGAACATTCTCTATTAAATTTTTGTCCTTTTCAAATCTCGGTGACCATACAACGTTTCCAAACTCTAGATTCGGGCGCACAACAGCAACAAACAACTGCTTCATCGCTTCTGCATCTAGGAACTCGTATGAGCGTCTGATTAATCCAAGAAGTTTGTTGGATGTGTTAGCTTGCGTTTCAACATGCTTAGAAAATTTTAGCTCCTTGTCGACATAAACTCCGAGATCTTTTTCCACACTAGACTGTTCAACTATTACCCTCTCGTTGCAACCATGTCTTCTCATACTGTAACCTTGCTGTTCATTGTTCTTCCCGAGGTGAAGCACTGTACTTTACACTTGTCAGCATTAAACCACAGCTGCCGCGTATCAGCCCAGTTAACTAAGCTGTCAAGATCATCTTGCAATTGCGCTTTATTTGACGCATTCTTCACTGAATTATAAACTTTTGTGTCGTAGGCATACATGGAGCACACGCTGGACACTGCTTCTGGCAGATCGTTTATAAAAGCAACGAACAAAATAGGCCCAATAACGCTTCCTTGTGGCACGCCACTGCGCACTGATGCCCAGTCTGACACAGTTCCGTTAATACTGACACGTTTTCGTCTACCTACTAGAAACTCTCTGATCCATTGGAGTACGTTTCCCTCAATTCCCAAAAACTTCACTTTACGTAACAGCCGCTCATGCGTAACACTGTCAAATGCCTTGGCAAAATCGAGGTACAATGCATCCACTGGTTCCCTTTCGTCCAGCAGGCGAGTCCACTCGTTCAACGTAGATAATAAGTTAGTGGCCGGTGCAGGATCTACCGGCAATAAAACCATGTTGACAATCTGATAGGAGATGGTGAGCAGTCAACAGATTCGTAGTGTTGGCAAACGGTGCCAATCACAACACGTCAAATTTCTCAAAGTAAATCCTGTCCTCTTTGTCCTCTGGGTTCTGAAATGCATCGAGAATATGGATTAATACGAGAGGCTTTCTATGATGATTGGTGATTATTAGCCGGAATTCATCAACCGTGCAATGCCTTTCTAGCCGGAAATTTCCAGACGCTGAGTTATGTGATGATGACAGTACTATACTTCGTAATGTATAGAGAATTATTAATTTACTTGTTTAAAAGATACAACTTATTTAAATTTATGTATAAATAGGATTTTAAAGTAACGTGCATTGCCACACAAGAGCATTGTAACATCAATCAGTTCAAATCAATCAATGAATCAATAGTAATCAATAAATTAATCAATGAATAATATTTTGCACGATAGTGATTCATTTACTACAGCCTTATTTATCGTTGAGGCATGATATGCCTCGAAATACCGGAATTTTTCACTTCCACTCAAACTTTATATAGTTTTTTCAAAGAGTTGATTCAATTTCCCAATAAATATTTCAGGTTATACAGTTCAACTCTAAATTTACAGAGAAGTATATTTCTTCATTTTCAGGGTCGAATAATATTCTTAAATCAATGAATCCTCTCGCCATTACCGCCTGTGTTCAAATAAGCTTATTCCGCCATCTAATTCTTGCTTATTTATTTTTAAATCTTCTGGTACAGCTAGAGTAAAATTTTATTGGCCCCTTCTATGCATTATTATAGCATTTGCTAAATATTGAACATTTACAATCAATTCTTTACTTGCTAGTTTGGTTTCTAATCTATGCTCCCAACATAAGAAATAAAAGAAATTTCGAGTTAGCAGAGTACTCGACGCCGCAGCCATGGCGTTGGAGCGACGCACGCTGGGGGTGGTGGTGCTCGGCTTCGCCTTCATGCTGATCTTCACGTCCTTCCAGACGCAGGGAAATATGCAGGTCCAGCAGCTGCCCTTTGTTTCCAGGCCTCACTGGTCATTATTTCCGTCATCCAGGGTGTTTGGCCATTGTCTGTGTGGCGTGTTGTTTCCAGGCCTCCCTGGTCATTGTTTCCGTCATCCAGGGTGTTTGGCCATTGTCAGTGTGTTGTGTTTTTGCAGGTCTCCCTGGGCATTGTTTCCGTCATCCAGGGTGTTTGGCCATTGTCAGTGTGGCGTGTTGTTTCCAGGCCTCTCTGGACATTGTTTCCGTCATCCAGGGTGTTTGGCCATTGTCAGTGTAGTGTGTTGTTTCCAGGCCTCACTGGTCATTGCTTCCGTCATCCAGGGTGTTTGGCCATTGTCAGTGTGGTGTGTTGTTTGCAGGCCTGACTGGTCACGATATCCATCGTTCAGGATGTTGAACGTGGCTCTTATCGGTTATGTCATTTGTCTTGTCAGAGAAGAAAATTCTTTAAAATCTTGCTTGAAAATTTTAACTAGTAGCTGGCCTTTGAAGCGTTTTCAATGCTCACAATTTTTGTAATCTTCATTGCAATTAACTTTATAATCGTAAAACAACATGAACAAGTATTGATTCTGAAACATTTTACTGTTTTTGCATTGATACACGTTATGAAAATGATGGGATTGAGCAACGAGCCTCGTTAGCAACTGTCGTCCGTTTCAGCAAGTGGTGATCGACAGCATCCAGAAGGAGGACCCGAGCTTCACAGGCTCAGGCTACGTGTCCCTGGCCATCATCTACACCGTGGTTGCCATCACCAACTGGTTTGCTCCATCCTTCATTGCCATCCTGGGGCCTAAACTTACCATGGTGGCCGGGGCCATCCCTTACACGTGTGTACCTATCCTATAAGGAGTTAACTCTTCTTATACTCGCACATTTAACCAATCCTTAAGTTTACTTCCTCCGCGGTACCTCGTATCGGTCCGTTGGTACACGTGCCATACGTAGGAGTATAAATTAAAAGATGTCACGGCAAGCCCTTCAATTGCTATTCTCTTAAACATGGACTAACCATATCGTTTCGAATACCACCCGATCAAATACCGCCAATAAATTTCTTTCTTTTATTTGGTCTTAATTCATTTTGCTCCAATGCCGATTACATATGAGATTGTGGTGCATTGCTCTAAATGGCATAAAATGGCTTGCTATCTCCATCACTGTTCCTACCGATCTTCATTCGAATACAGGAATCTTCCGCAAGCTTACTAATAAGTAGTTCAAATTTCTGAATTTTTCTGAGCTGTTATACATTTTCTGGAACAGTGGAACTCTGAACTGTAACTCCAAGACCACCCTGTCCGGGATGACAAGTCCCAACACCACGGCTCTTGGGTATTGTGTTGGGACTTATAGCCCCGACATAAATAAGTGACCATGCCAAAGTTTTATTTGTCATGACGCTCGGTTTGTTCATGGCTAGTTTGTTCATCGCGTCGTTCCTGTGGCCGCACACGTGGCTGCTGTACCTGGTGTCGGTGGTCGTGGGTCTCGGAGCTGCCCTCATCTGGACCGGCCAGGGCAACTACCTCACCCTCATGTCCGACGACGCCACCATAACCAGGAACTCTGGCATATTTTGGTCTATGCTGCAGTGCAGGCAAGTGCTGCAGTGAAAAGAAAAAAATTAATCCCACCAGCAGATGCTGCGGCAACTTCAGAAGTTGCTGCGGCAAATTACTTTTGAGCCTTCGTTTGCTCTGAAATTCTTGACATGCGACAGATCAACAGCATTTCGTTTCCTTGCCAGATTTTTTATAAAGTAAATTAGATAAAATAAATCATAAACAGAATACATTTCAGTGTATTAATTGGCATGTTCACGATAACTTGTACTTATGAATTAGAATTAATATATCATTTATTCATTTTCAGAAGTCACATCGGGAGTTATTTATTAGGAAGCTTTTTCCTGGGTCACAAATTTAATTCTTAACCCTTATTTGACTGTATGATTTGTACAACTTTGTAATCGTACCGAGTGCGTGTATTGTTTAGCCTAAGCAGGTCGACAAGAGTTGTTACTAATGCAGTCCAACCCCACCCTATATCTACCCACAGCCTCCGAGCTGAGAATCTTAATTGACTTGGCGACGCGACCAACCTCACCATCTAAAACTCCAAATCAGCTTGGGCCACGAGCCCCCATATGTTCCTACCAAAAATATGTAGTACAGTACGGTGTTCTAAAAAATAACGTATGGTGCAGCATAGCCTTCGTACAAATACTGTCACGCAGCATGGAGTTCTAACTAAAACTGTGCCAAGCAGCATGGTGTTCTAACCAAAACTGTGTCACGCAGCATGGTGTCCAACCAAAACTGTGTCACGCAGCATGGTGTTCTAACCAAAACTGTGTCACGCAGCATGGTGTTCTAACCAAAACTGTGTCACGCAGCATGGTGTTCTAACCAAATCTATGTCACGCAGCATGGTGTTCGGCAACATCTTCGTGTTCGTGAAGTTCCGAGGCCAGGAAGTTATAAGTGCCGACACCCGCTTCGTGGTCTTCATTTCCCTGACGGCCGTGTCTGTGGCAGGGACTCTCGTGCTGCTCCTACTGCCCAAACCGGGATCACAATCAGGCAGATCTGATGCCACGAGTTCCCCTGCTAAAGAGCTTATGAAAAGTTTTAAGCTTTTTGTTACCAAAGACATGCTTCTGTTGTCCGTCACGTTCTTTTACACGGGTTTGTCCTATTTTCTTTTATAAGAGCCAAACACTTTTTTTATTTTACATGCAATTTCTCAAAATATATGTAGCGATCTAGCCCTTTGTAAGATTGATAATGAATATTTATGCCCTATGATAATTGTAAACTCTCATATTCAAATACAACATCTTACAATATATACAAATACAACATTTTAGGTACTAATAGTAATGTTACTGTGCAGGCCTGGAGCTGAGTTTCTTCAGCGGGGTGTACAGCGCTTGCCTGAGTTTCACGCAACGTTTCCCTGACCCCAAGATGTTGGTCGGACTCTCCGGCATCTCAATTGGAGTTGGAGAGATCCTTGGTATGAGCTTTTTTTACGCTTCTTGTCCATCCAAACTGTCTTCCTGCCTTCATTACTGCTTGTTTTTTCTTTCTTCTTTTGTAATTTGTAACTGGCTGATTTTAACCCAGTCAATGTGGAACAGATAGCTTCCACTTCCAATTGTGACACTTGTAGACACTTCCCCAGAGCATTGATTGTATCCACCCCATAACGGCTGACTGCACAAGTTCACTAAAAAATCAAAACGACTTGAAGATTTTAACTGTTGTTTGTGCCACAAAAAGCCTGATTCTCTACGATCTACTTCACTTCCTCAGCCGGCGCTACGTTCGGGATCTTCGGTAGCAAGACAATCAAGTTCGGGCGGGACCCAATTGTGTTGCTGGGTTTCCTGATCCACATGGTCTGCTTTTACCTCATCTTCCTGAACCTCCCCAAGGACTCCCCCCTAGGCGACACTTATGGACCTTCTAAATTTTCTGACGGCCAGCCCATGTGAGGCAACTTGCAAAACTCTAATTATGACGTATTGCAAATTTTCAATTGATTCACGAAAAACGTTCACCAGTATTCAACTGTATGTTAACGTATTTGTTAATTTCAATTGACCTCTACGTTGCTTGTGGCAGAGTTTGGATTGCGCTGCTATGCAGCTTCTTGCTGGGTTTCGGCGACGCATGTTTCAACACTCAAGTCTACTCGCTGCTGGGCTCCGTGTACTCTGACAACTCTGGCCCTGCTTTTGCCGTATTCAAGTTCGTGCAGAGCTTCAGTGCCGCCTGCGGCTTCTTCTATTCCACATACATCAGCCTGCACTGGCATCTCGGTACTATACGAATCTTGGTATCCAAAGTTTCTTGTGGTCCAAAATTCCGAAGGTGCTCCAAAATTCGCCCTGCATTCATTTTTTATGATTAGGCACGCTCCATAAAAAAGGCACGCTTGAAAGCACCATATTAAATGTAAGGAATATTAGAATGGGGAAAAATATTCGTCTCTCACATTCAATATGTCTTCTCACTTTGCAGCCATCTTGGTGATTCTCTGCGCAGCAGGCACCTTGGCTTTCTGCGTGGTAGAATGGAAAGCCTACCGCAGAGCAGTCGTCAAAGCTGCAGCTTCGAGCGGCAGCAAAAACGACAAAAAAGCCACTTAAAACTTATTTTATTTTCGTCTTCTTCCCCTCTATTGCAGCTACGTCTGGACTTCGCTCTATTATTATCGCTGTATAGGTAGGTACTTGGAGCGGTAAAGATATATGGTTTCTAAAGACGCCCAATATGCTTAAAACTCATTTTACCCGTTAGTATTATTGTGCGCACCTTGCCGACTATAGTAATAGGAGCGATCAGTCACAAACAACTTATAATAATTTAAAACGTATAATAAAGAAAACCTTTATGTGCTATCCATTATCGAAAATCGACGCGGTTTCGTCAGCAATTGACCGTCTCATCAAAAATGTGACCAGGTAACTCTTAAAATAGTTGTAGGCGTCACTGGAAGTTATGGGACGTATTATGGTCAGTTGTTGACCGAAATACCTCTGAAAATGCAGCTGCCACTGACATGCAGTCAGAGCACCTCGACTCCTTGCTGGTGTAACTCCTTGCCTTGTTAGTCTCTTGCTGACACTCATTTACACACTGACTAGCCGTAAGCTGAGGTCCAGCGTCTAATGTGGCCACTTAAAAATTTATTGAAATATTAATGAATAACTCCCATTTCGACAAAAGTGCGTGGGTATTACCGTCGACTACTCTTGGGCTATTCCTCTTCGACACGCCCCATTCATATAATTCGTAACCAATAATTATGAAATTGAATGAACACATTTCAATTCCCATTAGGCTATGGCGAGGATTTTTTTATTATTTTTACCTCCTCGCGTTCTCAATTAACACGGAAAAACGTGTCGATTCAGTAGAATAGAATAGAATTGTCGGCGCTGAAGAAATAGGCCCATGGCCTGTTGCCGATTCTTAAATTTTTCGTGACTTGATTCACAAGGGACCCGGCCTTTGTTGGTCAGATACGTTGAAGGTTGACGTGTGGTCAGATACGTTGAAGGTTGACGTGTGGTCAGATACGTTGAAGGCTGACGTGTGGTCAGATACGTTGAAGGTTGGCGTGTGGTCAGATACGTTGAAGGTTGGCGTTTGGTCATATACGTTGAAGGTTGGCGTGTGGTCAGATACGTTGAAGGTTGGCGTGTAGTCATATACGTTGAAGGTTGTGCACATGGCGGCTACTTTATGCACATGGCGGCTACTTTTACATGGCGGCTACTTTATAACCCATATGTAAATCGCTGCATTTGACTGCTGACCTCAGCTGCAAGTGAGGTGAAGTCGTGATGTAGACAGATGGTATATGGGAAGTTGTAAAGGATTATTAACAGTTTTTGTGGAGTTTAATGTAGTGGAATGTAGAACAGCAATCTTGTTCGGGGCCACGTTTTTGGGGACTCTTTAGAAGAGTAAACTTCGGCCGATTGGCCCTAACCGAGTATTGAGACTGTCGAGGAAGGCATCGTTGCATGATCGTGAATAGCACTTAGATCTCCAAACAACCGGCGTAAAGGTCAGTGTACTAAATGAGACACGATCCCTTTTATTGTTTTAGGTGATAGGCAACTTGGAAGATAAAGCCTATCATTCATAGTCTAGCAGAAACTATTGAACCGAAGCGTCAGCCAATAGTTCTAATACCAGAGTCCCCATCCATCTATTCTCCGAGACCACTTGAGGCCCTGATTGCGCAATTGACCATTGAACAGAACTGTCACAGTGCAACTGTTATCCAGCCTTCAGAGTTTTACCTATCAAGCCCGAAAGGTTAACGAACCAAAACGTAGCCCCATTCATTCTTGTACACACTTGTCTCCATCACGTCTGGTATGATGTAATCACGAAAAATTTAGAAACTGTGAATCAGTTTCAAGTAAATGGTCAACTATACCACCACGACACGGGAGCCTAGGCGGAATTAGCAATCTAATCTGTAAAATCATGGGTGCCGGAGCTAGCCTTCTCTTCGAATAACTTGCATGTGTTCAAACGAGTGCTGCATGCCATGTATGGTAGTGACCATCATTGACCGTTGATGTGCTTCCGTGCCTCCCGTGTGTCGAGCGACTATTAAGCCACTTGAAGCTAGTCCGGTGTACTTGAATATATTTTTGAGTACGCGTTTCTTTGTCCTCGACAAAAAATTATTAAGTTGAGCTTCATCTTTGAGGGGAATTGTTCCTGAGCATCCCACCGCTGAGCTCGCATTGTCAGACTGCAGATCTCAGTTGTGAGGTTAAGCTATTATGTAGGCAGGATTCCTTGCATTTCCCTTCTCTGTCTCTCTCGTGCGGGCGGCCGACGTCCCGTGTAAACGACCTCTTGTTCGAGTGTCTTCGTTCCTTTGCTTTTTACCTGTCCCTCCTTGTCACTTCGTCTCTTTGAGATGCTAACGCTGCTTCTTTCGAGCCAGCTTCAGCGGGCTGGACAATTGAGACTTTCCGTCCCTTAATTGTGGGTGATGATTAACTTTAGATTTTGAATAATTGAGACCTTTTGCCTCTTTGGCGATGTTATATTTTGACCTTCGGTGCGAAATAGCTTGATAGCTGAAGAGCTAGCAAACCATTATACCATTGCTACTTGAGCTTCATCACGCTTTTTTTGGCCTGTAAACGGTTTCGCTCGACCTCAATTCCTTGCCCTAGTTATAGTCTTAGATAAGCTTTTTATTTATATATAATAAAAATAATATCGGTGTCAGCGTTTAGTAGGCCGTAGGCCTGCCGCCGATTACTAACACCGCAGAACATTTACAGCATTTTGTGGTCTCGAACTCGCAACTCGCTGCTACAATTCTGCTGTGCTTAACCGCCCGGCCTCCTGGCCGCTTCTGACCAGAAACTGGCGCACAGAGCTGGGATCGAACCCACGCCTCTCTGCTCCAATCTTGGTACTCTGCTGAACTGTAACCACTGGGCCACTCTGCCAACATCCGGCTACTAAACTTGTACCCGAGCGCTCTCGGATCGAAATGTCTACCGTGCCTCTACGCCCGTATCGGCGTCCTCTATAGCGTGATCGTCTCTCGCTGCTTGGGTCTAAGCTAGATTAATACCTACAAAGATTGTCTAATGCCTACAAAAGTTTCGTCTCTACGATTACTGGACTTGACTGCACAGTATCTTCTTGGTCCTCATCCATCATGGGCCTTCATTAGTAGTCTGTGGAGTTCAGTTTGGGGTACACTGTATTTTAAATTGAGCTATATTGCCGAGACTGTCCTATTAATTTTCCTTGCATTGCTGGCAAACACAGGTAGACTTAGGCGCCACCGTAAGTCCATCAGTGTTTATTACTATTAATTTATATTATAATTATAGCGATCCTGTCTTCCTATCAGAAGAAAAATTTTTAAGGTCCAGCTAGACCTTTGTTTTGCCTATTTCTCCTTTCTCTATTACGCTCAACCTCTGCTACTATTTGACCTTTTATCCTTATCTTATCGAGCTACAGTCGCCCCGAAACACATGGATCCGTCTTGCCAGGATAGCTGCGCTATCTCCAGCGGACTATCATTTGAAATTATTGTTAATCAATCTAGCTAACAATATTTTCGGTCCTGATAATCAGGAAGTACAGTGGTCATTGTAAGCGAGCCAGGTTGTTCAGAATGTTCAATCTGTCACCCACACAATTACAAGACCACCTGTCTTGCCATTCATGTGACAAAACGTCGTGCCTTTAACCTTATGAGACAGAAGTGTCGTGCCTTTAACCTTATGAGACAGAAGTGTCGTGCCTTTAACCTTATGAGACAGAAGTGTCGTGCCTCCAACCTTATGAGACAGAAGTGTCGTGCCTTTAACCTTANGTGTCGTGCCTTTAGCCTTATGAGACAGAAGTGTCGTGCCTCCAACCTTATGAGATAAAAGTGTCGTGCCTTTAGCCTTATGAGACAGAAGTGTCGTGCTTCCAACCTTATGAGATAGCAGTGTCGTGGCTGTAACCTTAATGTTAATGCCAATCGTTATACGATGTTCAAATTAAACTCTGTACTCTGTAGGCGCAGAATTTTTTTATTGTAATAACATTTAATTTTCACAGCTGATGTTTTTGCTGCTGCTGCTGCTGATATGCATTCTTATGTTTCATTAAAGATTGTTATAATTCCTAGCCGATGTATATAAATTGCTTAAATTTGCGTTGTTTTCGCGGTCTGATGTAACGTTGCCATCTGTGAGAATTTGTAGTGTTATCCGGGCTGCTGCAGATGTGCAGAGTATCTGCACTGTGTTTATAGATATGATACTCGAGTCCTCATCGTCTGTTGGGGCGTTGCTATTTTTTTTGTCATCAGTTCGTGATGATATGATGTTAATTTTTCTTCCTCTTGTGTGCTGTGATATGTTACTTGAGTATTCCATTGTTTGCTTTCCTATACAGACATAGCCAGTGCTCGTGTTTATTTTGTGACGATATTTTGTTCAATTGTTGATTGTTTTATAAATGATTTGATTATTACTTGATTCTGTCGTCGCTTGTTCGACTTCATGCGTAGCCATCGGTTGTGTTCTATGTGTGGTAGTAATATCAGTAGTATATTTCTCTTTTATATGGTGTAATATAATGTTGAAGTCCTCATCGTTCGGTCGTCTACAGACGTAATTTTTAATTTCGGAAATTTTTTTAAATTTCAAAAGATGTGATATATTATTCAAGTCCCCATCGTTAGTTCGTCATCAGACGTAGATGTCGCTTGTATTCAATTTGTAACTATATTAATAGCTCAGTTTATTACGTTAAAATTTAAGCTGTTTAATTATTTGAAAGGCAATTGTTCGCATTTTTATAGAGAGAACGCCTTGTCTGTCATTGGAGTTAATGTTTACCGCCAAAAAACACCGATGTAAATTGAAATGTAATGTCACTTGGTATGTATCACACATGATACAGAGAGTGCTGCAGGCATGTAGCCCGATTACCAGAGCCGTAATAGTAAAAAATTATGTTTATCTCATATTTGATTTATTTTTATCTTAATTTTATTTATTATGTCTATATCATTTTAATTTGCGGGTTGTCCCTCGTCGCTTGACCGTTTGCAGAAGTAGATATCGCTTGTGTTCAGATTGAGATTAAAGTAATATATGCTCAGAATATTTTTGTATATTCTATGGCATTATATATTTAAGCCTCCTATCGTTTGATCGTGTTCACAAGCATATATCGCTTGTGTTCAGTCTGAGTATATAGTAATATGCCCAGTAAAATTTTATAAGTTCGAAGGTATAAGAGATTCAAGTCTTCTATCGTTAGATCGTGTTCACAAGCTGATTTCGCATGTGTTCAGTTCAAGATTATAGTAATATGCCCAGTAAATTTTTGCGGATAATATATTCAAGTCTCTAATCGTTAGATCGTGTTCACTAGCAGATATCGCTTGTGTTCAGTCTGAGATTATAGTAATATGCCCAGTGAATTTTTTGCAAATTTCAAGGTATAATATATTTGAGTCTCCCATCATTTGGTCGTGTCCACAAGCTGATTTCGCAAGTGTTCAGTTCAAGATTATAGTAATATGCCCAGTAAAATTTTGCAAATTGTATGATATAATATATTTAAGTCTCCTATCGTTTGATCGTGTTCACAAGCAGATTTCGTTTGTGTTCAGTCTGAGATTATAGTAATATGGCCAGTAAAATTTTGCAAATTCGAATGCAGCATGGTGTTCTAACCAAAACTGTGTCACGCAGCATGGTGTTCTAACCAAATCTATGTCACGCAGCATGGTGTTCGGCAACATCTTCGTGTTCGTGAAGTTCCGAGGCCAGGAAGTTATAAGTGCCGACACCCGCTTCGTGGTCTTCATTTCCCTGACGGCCGTGTCTGTGGCAGGGACTCTCGTGCTGCTCCTACTGCCCAAACCGGGATCACAATCAGGCAGATCTGATGCCACGAGTTCCCCTGCTAAAGAGCTTATGAAAAGTTTTAAGCTTTTTGTTACCAAAGACATGCTTCTGTTGTCCGTCACGTTCTTTTACACGGGTTTGTCCTATTTTCTTTTATAAGAGCCAAACACTTTTTTTATTTTACATGCAATTTCTCAAAATATATGTAGCGATCTAGCCCTTTGTAAGATTGATAATGAATATTTATGCCCTATGATAATTGTAAACTCTCATATTCAAATACAACATCTTACAATATATACAAATACAACATTTTAGGTACTAATAGTAATGTTACTGTGCAGGCCTGGAGCTGAGTTTCTTCAGCGGGGTGTACAGCGCTTGCCTGAGTTTCACGCAACGTTTCCCTGACCCCAAGATGTTGGTCGGACTCTCCGGCATCTCAATTGGAGTTGGAGAGATCCTTGGTATGAGCTTTTTTTACGCTTCTTGTCCATCCAAACTGTCTTCCTGCCTTCATTACTGCTTGTTTTTTCTTTCTTCTTTTGTAATTTGTAACTGGCTGATTTTAACCCAGTCAATGTGGAACAGATAGCTTCCACTTCCAATTGTGACACTTGTAGACACTTCCCCAGAGCATTGATTGTATCCACCCCATAACGGCTGACTGCACAAGTTCACTAAAAAATCAAAACGACTTGAAGATTTTAACTGTTGTTTGTGCCACAAAAAGCCTGATTCTCTACGATCTACTTCACTTCCTCAGCCGGCGCTACGTTCGGGATCTTCGGTAGCAAGACAATCAAGTTCGGGCGGGACCCAATTGTGTTGCTGGGTTTCCTGATCCACATGGTCTGCTTTTACCTCATCTTCCTGAACCTCCCCAAGGACTCCCCCCTAGGCGACACTTATGGACCTTCTAAATTTTCTGACGGCCAGCCCATGTGAGGCAACTTGCAAAACTCTAATTATGACGTATTGCAAATTTTCAATTGATTCACGAAAAACGTTCACCAGTATTCAACTGTATGTTAACGTATTTGTTAATTTCAATTGACCTCTACGTTGCTTGTGGCAGAGTTTGGATTGCGCTGCTATGCAGCTTCTTGCTGGGTTTCGGCGACGCATGTTTCAACACTCAAGTCTACTCGCTGCTGGGCTCCGTGTACTCTGACAACTCTGGCCCTGCTTTTGCCGTATTCAAGTTCGTGCAGAGCTTCAGTGCCGCCTGCGGCTTCTTCTATTCCACATACATCAGCCTGCACTGGCATCTCGGTACTATACGAATCTTGGTATCCAAAGTTTCTTGTGGTCCAAAATTCCGAAGGTGCTCCAAAATTCGCCCTGCATTCATTTTTTATGATTAGGCACGCTCCATAAAAAAGGCACGCTTGAAAGCACCATATTAAATGTAAGGAATATTAGAATGGGGAAAAATATTCGTCTCTCACATTCAATATGTCTTCTCACTTTGCAGCCATCTTGGTGATTCTCTGCGCAGCAGGCACCTTGGCTTTCTGCGTGGTAGAATGGAAAGCCTACCGCAGAGCAGTCGTCAAAGCTGCAGCTTCGAGCGGCAGCAAAAACGACAAAAAAGCCACTTAAAACTTATTTTATTTTCGTCTTCTTCCCCTCTATTGCAGCTACGTCTGGACTTCGCTCTATTATTATCGCTGTATAGGTAGGTACTTGGAGCGGTAAAGATATATGGTTTCTAAAGACGCCCAATATGCTTAAAACTCATTTTACCCGTTAGTATTATTGTGCGCACCTTGCCGACTATAGTAATAGGAGCGATCAGTCACAAACAACTTATAATAATTTAAAACGTATAATAAAGAAAACCTTTATGTGCTATCCATTATCGAAAATCGACGCGGTTTCGTCAGCAATTGACCGTCTCATCAAAAATGTGACCAGGTAACTCTTAAAATAGTTGTAGGCGTCACTGGAAGTTATGGGACGTATTATGGTCAGTTGTTGACCGAAATACCTCTGAAAATGCAGCTGCCACTGACATGCAGTCAGAGCACCTCGACTCCTTGCTGGTGTAACTCCTTGCCTTGTTAGTCTCTTGCTGACACTCATTTACACACTGACTAGCCGTAAGCTGAGGTCCAGCGTCTAATGTGGCCACTTAAAAATTTATTGAAATATTAATGAATAACTCCCATTTCGACAAAAGTGCGTGGGTATTACCGTCGACTACTCTTGGGCTATTCCTCTTCGACACGCCCCATTCATATAATTCGTAACCAATAATTATGAAATTGAATGAACACATTTCAATTCCCATTAGGCTATGGCGAGGATTTTTTTATTATTTTTACCTCCTCGCGTTCTCAATTAACACGGAAAAACGTGTCGATTCAGTAGAATAGAATAGAATTGTCGGCGCTGAAGAAATAGGCCCATGGCCTGTTGCCGATTCTTAAATTTTTCGTGACTTGATTCACAAGGGATCCGGCCTTTGGAATCCGATCTTTCCATAGCTGACGATTGATTGAGATAGCTGCTGGACTTATTGCCTGGTCCGTAATTTGCTAGGCATTTTAAGACTGAACATATGCTCCTGCATAGCTTCGTCTAGTCTTATTGCCTGGTCCGTAATTTGCTAGGCATTTTAAGACTGAACATATGCTCCTGCATAGCTTCGTCTAGTCTGTTTTTGAAGATGTAGCTTTGGCAGTAGCTTTGGCACGCTCCTGTCCCTCAGTTCGTGACCAATAATTAGGAAATTAAAAACATAGTTTAGACGCAGTGAATAATTGGCTTTTGGTGCGGTGCGCCTTGATAGCTGAAACGCTGGTCAACTTTGGGCCCACATCTCTGCTGCTAGATTGCTTTTGCTGCTGCCAGCATTTTTTTACTAGATGCTCTGAGGTTAGAGTGCTGATTTGAATTACTGAAGCTGTCCAAGGTAATTATTAGATAGGATCTAAATAATGGTAATAAGTATTAAGTACGCATGTCTAGGAATAGACATGAACAATTAGCATTCTACCTATAGAGAAATGAGGAAATCCATGTTTGAAGTGTAAATACAATATAAGTTTTCTAATTCATCGCTTAATTTCAACCTGAAATAATTATAGTTCTCAAATGCATGCTTATCTGCTTTATATCAATAAATTACTTTATAAATATTTTTTACTGCATATATTTCAAGGAGAACTTTGATTTTGAGCACTCGAAATTGAACATGCTTCGTTTCAAATCCAAACATAACCTGTTTAAGCGGAATCTTATTTATTTCGCTCAAATTGCTGCAAATATCAAGAAATAAATGCGAAGATGTATAATCTAAACGTCTATTCATTTTTTACGAGTCCTTGGGCATTGGAATTAATGTCTATGACTTGGTCGAAGCAAAAATTTATCATATGTATTATGCTCAAAACATATAATTCATGGAATCGCGATCAATAATTAAAATTTCATCTTAGTTCATCATTCGAAAATTAAAATAGTGTTTACGACATTTGTAAATTGGGTGCACCAAAAGTGTGTTGAAAAGTTTAATGAGCTACTTTCTGAGAGTAGGAGTTGTGTTTACTTCACGCTGCAGTTGTGGCAACATTCCTAGTTCAGTTTATGTACACCGTGTTTGCCGTTGTTAGTGAGGTGGGTGATCTTTATGTATCGAATATTTGTCTAGTCATGTCGTTTCCTTATAATTGAAATTTTTATATAAATTGGGCGTTATCATTGTCTATAAGGTAATTTTCAATTCTATCTCACTGCCTAGTTTTGTCCGTTCCGGACCATTCGTCACAGAGCCTGTTCGTTGTCATCGGCGAGTACCTAGCCAGAATTTAGATTTTTTCGTGAGCTGTACAACTTATTAGATATGCTGTGCGTTTTTTATTTCTATGATAGGAAAGTCTTCAGTCTGTCTTCTTATTTTCTGGTCGTAAAATTGACCCATCCAAAAAATTAATCCCTTTGCTATTACTCAATTACCTAACCTAACTATTGCTCGTGCTCAGGCTCTACCGTCTCTACGTTCAGTTAGTACTGAGTTAGGTATCTTTTTTGGTCAATAGCTAGGTATAATCTATGAAATTGAGTAGGCTAGGTACTTGAATTTATTAGGTATTCCGTCATTCTTGCAAGTAGCTGTTTTGTTTCATCAAAAGTGAATACTACTTGAATAGTGATAATTTCACAATTATTTTAGCCGACGTTTTCACCTCCATCAGTTTTGTGTGTAGGCTACTAGGTAGCTAATATGAACAGCCATGTCGATACCTAGTTGCCAAATAAACACATGAAATTGCTTTGAGTGCTGCGTGGTACTGTGATAGTAAAGAAATCTAAGCTGCTAACATCTTACTGGTAATGTTCTTTGGTAATTTTTTTCACTCCATTTACAGTCAAATATGTATTGTTTGTTTTTTCATAGAATAAGCTTACAAGAGCCTGTTAACTTGTGAAATGCAGTGAATATATTGCAAGCAAGTGTAATTGATTTGGTACCACTGCACCAATGTTATCAAACCTGGCTCAGGCAGGATAAAATTCTAGAAATGATGGTCAATATATTACTTTTGAGCCACCTCTGCCAGTTTTTTGGTTTAAAATTTTTAGATAGAATAGTTATAGTAGACCAGCTCAAAGTAGGTGTCATGGATACCACAGGCATGAAATACCTATATCTACTTGGCAAGCTGCAACTAAATTCTTTGAGCCATGGTTTTATGGGTTTGCCAGCTGTGATTCTATTTCTTATGGGCTTTGACTTTGAGCCGTGATCCCATTTTTTTGAGCCATGAATTCCATATCTTGGCCATGAAAAGCCATTCACGAGCTGCAAACTTACTAAGTTACTTATAAAGTCCTACTATGCAAACCACTCTGACGTGACCGCAGCTACGCAAACTTCAAAGAAACGTGTTGGATTGACTTGTTATTATGTTCTGAAGGATATTTTTGCGAGGAGCATGGAATTGAAGTACTGCATGTTGTGGAAGTTTAAAATTTTATAAAACTTGTTATGCAAAGTGCTAACTGTTGATTTTTTTCAATCAAACAAAAATACATGACATTTGAACTGTGAGATTTTATACCTAATAAAATTATACAATAGGGTTAACGCGGTATATTCCGACACATAAAGGGCATAGCAAAAAATGAATGGCTATAAAAAAATCACTGTATGCGCAACTCGAGTTCTGTTTGCTTTACGTCACTCGCAAAACACACTGCACTACACGCCAGCAACAATGAAACCTCACAAACTGTTGCCGTATTTATTTAAAAGCCTTTAGAATGCAATCCTACCAAATCCATATATTCCGACACTGTGTGACTAAATTCGGCATTTTGTGAGACTAATTCTGGTCGCGCATCAAACTACTAATTCCTAATTCCGATCCTCTTGTGTTTGAATTCTGATCACTGTGTGAGTGTGAGCTGTATTGGAATATGACAGCTCGGAATTAGAACACTATTGAATATTGAACACTACTTAATTAGGCTTTTAATTACGAGCTATTAAGCTTTTAATTAAGAAAATTTTAATTTTTGCACACAGCTCGGAATGAGCTGTGTGTGTCTAATTCCAAGCTGTGTTGGAATTAGTTTTTAACTTTTTATTTGTCTAAAACTGTCTCTTAACTTAATCATCTATTAATTTATTTACCACTTGAAATCAGCAAATACAAGTATACTTAAAGGATTCCTAATATATTCACAGACTTATTTAAAAGTCTCAAACCATAATAGTCTTTCTACACAAACAGTTTATCACTATTTGGTAGAGCAAGGTCAACTATCAACTTTGTCACGTTTTTTGATGTTTCGCCGGGTGACTTGCACTGTCTCTCTTTGGATCTTGACATTTTCCCGCCAGATGGCTCAGACCTAGTGTTTTGGCAATAGTATGGCATGCATTATTATGATGTCACTATTTCTACCATCAATGAATGCGTGGAACTAAGACAAAGCTTAATATGAAGGAAAAAAGTTGAGAAGTGTTGGAATTACCCATGATGTCGGAATATACCGCACTTACCCTAGCCACGATATTTCAGAATAAAGTATGACTTTTCCCAACCTGGGGCACCACACACCAGTATCATCATACATAAGATATTGGTTTAAATCTTGATTATATGAGGATATTAAAAATGAACATTATAAAAAATCTCTGGCTTGCCACTAGGCTGCAGAGGCTGTTTGAGCTTTGAGCGAGCAGAATCATGTAAATGGAAATACATGGAAGCACTCGCACAATTACCTGATATACGGCTACCTCATTCCAGTTGCCAATGCCAAAAATAAAAAATAGTAATCACAAAAAAATTAAAATAGTATTTACAACACATGCAAACTGGGTGAGATATGGAGAAAAAACATTTACCTACAATTTTCAAAAATTACTAATGAAATGGCGTTTGCCAAAATTTTTTGGAAAATTCAGCCAGATATTTCAGATTTTTATGTGCCACTGGTTTATATCCTAAATATTACCCAAATTTTTAAATAATGGTCAATTTGCACATTTTAAGATCAAATGTGAATTGTTTACCTATCATGTACCTACATTTACCATCTTGAATTCAACCTTGTTCAGACAGTCATTCTATGAAATTTTTGACTTCTTTAGTTCATATGGCAAACAAAAGTGATTAAAAAATCTTAAAGTAGATAATTATATAAGTAAGGAATAAACTAATTCTACAAAATCTCTACTTCAACACTATGCCACTGATCAGTACCACACTCCTACCATAATATCCGGTGATTGCATCTGCGATGATTGCAGTTATCCAGTGATAGTTGCAGTTATATCAGACTGCATTAAAACTGTTGCTTCTTTTAAAAAATCTGAATTGGAGTATCATTCAACTAATTTTCTCTGAATTGAAGGAAAAATGCGTTTTAATGCCTAAAATAAGAAATTAGGCATGATATATGCCTAATATCTTGGTAATTGAGTTGGCAGCTCTGAAATTGCTTCCCACAGTTTGAAAAAGGATTCATGAATCAAAAATATGGAGTTGCCGCTCAAAAATCTATAAATTTATAGCTTCAAAAAAAAACCTTATTTGTTGCTTGGAGAGAAGATACTTTCCATTTTAGCTCACTTCAAAGACTGGAAAATTCTTTCTAATTATATAAATCTTCTAGCTTCATGGTTACTAGGTAATTTGTCACCTAAAACTAATTTTTTAATTCTGATTTTAAAATCAAACTTTGATAACAGAATATGTATTGTCTTCATTTTCAACTGCAACTATGAGTCATGACTGATTTTATACTTTATATATGCCATCAGTGCAAACTCTTGTCATTTCCAGAGTGAAAGTTTCAGTTAGTTCAGCTGACATGTGTAGACTTGAGCCTTGAGTATTTAGATAGGACAAAAGGAACTGATGGTTGAGCCATGAGATTTTAGATAGGACAAAAGGAACTGATGGTTGAGCTATGAGATTTTAAATAGGACAAAAAGAACTGATGGTTGAGCAATGAGATTCTAAATTTACATTATATTGTACTTTGTTGCAATGATATTTCAGTAATGAGTGGCAGTGTTTTACTCCTGTATTGTAGTGCATGTATACAAGATATTCCAATAGAAGTTTCACAAAATAATTACCGTAAAATGGGGTAACTTAGACCGGCGGGGTAACTTAGACCACTTTTCGTTTTTTTAACAAAAACCCCCACAACTCAAAAACTATTTGACATAGAAAAATTTTGTCAATGGGCATTGAAGGCCTAATACTGAGGCTACATAACACAATAGTCCTAATACTGGGGCTACATAACACAATAGAAAGATTTGAAAAGTTTGCATATCTAATAGGTTAAAAAATTAAAAATGTGACCCACGAAAAAAAGCTATTATTTAAAGCCTGTCAGAGTACCCCCTCCAATTTTTTTATTTTTTGAATAAATAACTCCAGGTTTTGATGCATTGTAGTAGAACTCTTCTAGTTACATATGCAAATGACAAATTTTAGGAAAGTGTCATAGTTTGCAAATGGGGGGCGCCGCCCCCAAATGGGGTAACTTAGACCACCTAATGTCAGCCCTGACAGAGTAACATAGACCAGCTTGGAAGTTAATATAAAATTACTATATATAACATATTTTATGTTTGACAGCCTACTTATGTTTTTTCTTTATGTTTCAGACTCTACAGAGTCTTATATATGGTAATTTTAACTTAATTTCCAAGCCAGTCAATATTACCCCATCAGGGCTGCCATTAGGTAGTCACATTTCCCTCATTATGGGGCAGTGCCCCCCATTTGCAAACTATGACACTTTCCTCAAGTTTGTCATTTGCATATGTAACTAGAAGAGTTCTACTACAATGCACCAAAACCTGGAGTTATTTGGAGTTATTTTACCAAAAAATATAATTGATTTTACCACCCGGTCTAAGTTACCCCAAGAGTTGGGGTAACAAAGACCACCACTTTTTTTGAAATTACATAAAGACTATGAGAGGCAGGAGCCAGCAATTTATGGTGAGTGAAGCTAGAGTATAGACCTGTATTTTGCATGTTTCAATTCAAGTTTAATTTAGCTAGTAAAAAAATGGCAGCATTTATAATAAAAAAAGTGGTCTAAGTTACCCCATTTTACGGTATGTATGAATTCTGCGACTGGTTAGGTTTGCTGGCTCTTCAGTCAAGTGTGAAAAATATCCACTGAGTAAATTTTATTTTTAAATTTATTTGTGCAAGCTAAGTTGCCTGGCCATTGGTTTTATATCAAATCTTACACTTACCCTGCCAATTGCAACACAAATATTCTCCTTTAATTTGTAGACAATTTTGGATCTGACTTTTTTATTTTGTTTTTGTTTGATACATTGCATGTATCTTAGTAACTGGATACAAGCTCTCTTGCTTCTCTAACTATGAAAAACTTCAATGAAAATGTGTTGGGCCTGTGATACAACAGCATCATGTTACTGAAGAGAATTCCTCATTTTCTTTTATGAACATTTTTTGCAAGATTTTGATTCAACAAGGCAATATAAAGATACATTATAAATTCAGTAAAATTTCAATATTGTTTGTTCAGACTGTAATACTTCAGTAAAAATCAGTTATCTCAATCTTGTGTAAATTGAAATTGTTAGCAATTAGATGTTTGGATTGGTTGTTGTCAAAAATTACTGGCAGCAGTGCAGGTTTGTTTAATGGCAATGCTTTTCTTTCAGGCTTTGTGCTTGAGTGATGAATGTTACAAGCATTACAATATCTCAAGGGATAAATTTTAGGCCTTATCATACTCATTACTATTTTTTTCAGGCACGATGGTGAAGTACACGGCTCAACCGCAGAACCCCACCAAGTCCTGCAAGGCAAAGGGGGCTGACCTCAGGGTTAGCTTTAAGGTAAGCAAAAAGGATGTTTTATAGGTATATGAAATAAATTTATCTGCCTAGTTAAGGAAACTATAAGGTCATCTACAACATAAATTGCCCAAATATTTTATGTTCAGTAAGCTTATGGAATTTCACTTTTTATGCTGTACCGTAAAATGGGGTAACTTAGACCACTTTTTTTTTATAAATGATGCCATTTTTTTACTAACTAAATTAAACTTGAATTGAAACATGTAAAATACAGGTCTATACTCGAGCTTCACTCGCAATAAATTGCTGGCTCCTGTCTCTCATAGTCTTTATGTAATTTAAAAAAAAGTGATGGTCTTTGTTACCCCAGCTCTTGGGGTAACTTAGACCGGGTGGAAAAATCAATTATATTTTTTGGTAAAATAACTCCAAATAACTCCAGGTTTTGGTGCATTGTAGTAGAACTCTTCTAGTTACATATTTGTTATATATGGTAATTTTATATTAACTTCCAAGCCGGTCTATGTTACCCCGTCAGGGCTGACATTAGGTGGTCTAAGTTACCCCATTTGGAGGCGGCACCCCCCATTTGCAAACTAGGACACTTTCCTAAAATTTGTCATTTGCACATGTAACTAGAAGAGTTCTACTACAATGCATCAAAACCTGGAGTTATTTAACCAAAAAATGAAAAAATTGGAGGGGGTACTCTGACAGGTTTTAAATAATAGCTTTTTTTCGTGGGTCACATTTTTAATTTTTTAACCTATTAGATATGCAAACTTTTCAAATCTTTCTATTGTGTTATGTAGCCTCAGTATTAGGCCTTTAATGCCCATTGACAAAATTTTTCTATGTCAAATAGTTTTTGAGTTGTGTTTTTGGTTTTTGTTTAAAAATTAATTTAACAAAAAAATTTAACAAAAACATGGGTTTTTGTTAAAAAAACGAAAAGTGGTCTAAGTTACCCCGCCGGTCTAAGTTACCCCATTTTACGGTATCCGTATTTATTATACATGATTTTCATACACGTAAATATATTTTCTCACTTCAGTGAAATTTAGGCTGAAGATAACAGATGATCAATTTTTTTTCAAAATTTCCAGCTTTGAATTGATAGTTGAGGTTATGTTCAAGAATTTTTTTTTTCTTGTAAGTGACAGCTCTTCTAACTTTCTCATTGATTTTTATCAACTTGCTTGACTCTCTGAGTAACAACAGGAGGTTATTTTCTATTAGTTGAATCAACAATGTAAAATGCATATTCACCCATATGTTCTGTTAACACTCGTAATGAAATAATACAATTATTTACAGAACACGTTCGAGACAGCGGCTGTGCTGAGGCGCATGTCACTGACGCGGGCTAAGGCCTTCCTCAACAATGTCCTGAAACACAAGGAGTGCGTTCCCTTCAGACGCTTCAACGGAGGCATTGGGCGATGTGCTCAGGTTTGTTGCACTGCATCTGGATATTATTACCATTGAGCCTATATATTTGTACTGTTATTCCCCCCATACGTTAGACTTGGTGTGGAATTTTGATGTATGAGGGTTAGGCCTTGTGTCTATATATTTTTTGCTGGTTATTAATCTTGTTTGCCCTCGAAGTTTGTTTGAACCAGATGCCACGATAAATGCTTTGTGTAATAATAATAAAGGTCGAGTTGCCGACTGTGATCTAACTACTCATCTGAACAACCATCGTTTTCTTGATCATAAATTATAGCAGATATCCATGGTAATGTAGGATTCATATTAAATTTAAACTGCTGAGGTGTTCTCCATATTGTAATAGCTTTATTTTTCTCTTTTTGGTTAATAGTGCGACTACTTCTGATAAAGCTTCAGTTCTCAAGCTTTTAAAACTTGAATTCTTCAAGTAGGTATTGATTCAAGAAGTTGCGAATGTGATTGCATTTGTGCGCTTCTAAGATTATTGTGGTAAATACAATTATAATATAAACTAAGTAATCTTCCAAGTGTTGTAAGCTTATGATTTTCATATTATCTATTTATATAGTAATATGATGAATTTTTCTGTCCACAGGCAAAGCAATGGAAAATGACTCAGGGTCGCTGGCCCACAAAAAGCGTCCATTACCTTCTCGATCTCCTGAAGAATCTTGAGAGCAACGCTCAATTCAAGGTGGGTTTCAAGGTCTCATTTTGCCAGGGCCGTTTTCTAAGTTGCCTCGATGAATCCTTGCTTTTAACTTCTGTTCGATTGATGTATTAACTCTAAATATCACTTAATTTCATAGATCTGAGTCATAGGGTTTTTTCTATACACTATTCACACCATTCAGTAAGCCAGTAATCCAATCTAGGGACTCGCTAACCTAAGTTTGGTGCCGTAGCTTAGCATGTTAATAAAGGATTAACTCCCGCCGGCGTCACGGTTAAGAAATTGTAGAACATAATTTGACTGCAAGCTTCTAGCTGTATAAAGTTCATCTGCTAACTCCTAATGGACCTAATTTTATTTTCAGGGTCTTGACGCCGAGAATTTATACATCCGCCACATCGTTGTGCAACGCGCCTGCCAGATGAGGCGTCGCACTTACCGTGCCCACGGTCGCATCAACCCCTACATGAGCTCGCCTTGCCACGTCGAGATCATCGCCGAGGAGAAGCCTGAACACGTCGAGAAACCTGGACTGAAGAAGAAGCTCAGGCTGGCGTCACAGAAGAGGAAGCGTCTGTCAACCTCGTGGAAGCCCAAAAAGGTCAAGACACACAAGACCACGTATTCTGCTAAGAAGCGTAAGGCTGCTGCCGCCCTTGCAGCTGCAGCTCAGAAGGGAGATACGTCAGTTGCTGTGGCTGGTAAGCCTAAGAAGAAGGGCGCTCAGACGAAGCCTGCTGGCAAGAAGGCTACCACCCCCAGGACCAAGGACGGTAAGGTGCAGAAGAAGAAGAAGCCTGCTGATAAGGCAGCCCCAAAGAAGAAAACCGAAAAAGCTCCCAAGAAGGAAGGCGGCAAGCAGTAACTTTGCAATAAATGCCGGACGATGAGCTGCGTCTTTCATTTATCCTTTTTGTAAGCATGTGGTATCATGAATGGTTGTCAACTTCCTGCTTATTTAGCGACATGATTCAGATTTGCTCCTCTCACTACTTGATCTCCATTTATTTTCCAGATATTCATTTGGTTGTGCATCTGTCTGGTGATTTCTCTGAATTGAAATTTTGTATATTAATACACCGATATCATATTAAACATCTAGTGCCGTCATAGCTTTGTTGTAATGATCATATTGGTTGCTGTTCATATGCTTTCATCCCGCCCATGCTCTGGGCTACATTGCACTTGCAGTTGGTAACGTACAGCAGGTGTGCTTGCGCTCCTGTTAGTTGCCAGCTGTTCATACTTTGTGTTGAGTTCCTACAGTATGAGTGTTGGTCTTATGTTATTTGCACAAGAGTTGGTTTTGAAATCTCGTAACTCTGTTGAAATTATACCCTTTTGGTTAACACGCGTCGAGAAAGTCGCATCAATCAAATGGTTCCTGCAAGATGATCCCTGACGTTAGTCAACGGTGAGTACCTAAGCGAAATGGACTAATTGAAAAGGATAGGTTTCATTTTTCGTCTACTTGTAACTGCATTAATGATGAACACTTACCTACGTATGATCCTAATGAATAACTTTGTAGATATCTGAATGCTCTACTTCGATCAGTACTTTTTAATTTGTGGATCGATTTTTATAAGTCATTGCTCTAACGCAGCTCCCCACTGGAGAAGCTGTGGCACGAAGCCGTAGTCCTGCCCTTGCGCCACCCATGTGAAAATATCTTAAGACAGGAGCGGCGCTAGTTCGGAGGTGGCGGAACAGTTAACGTGGAATATATATGGTGAGCTGAGCGATGAATATAGAGCAAATTCACCTATAGCATCGAGCGACTATTATTAAAGTGAATAATTACTGATGACAAAATTCGTAGGTACGATTCCCATGACCGATCTTGTAGATATCTGAATCTTGAAACGTTTGAACGGTTTTCAATGAATATATTACGCGTTTTTAACTAGTGGCTTTAACGCAGCTCGACTAGAGCTCCCGTGTCGACTTCTGCAGAGGAGGTCAGCATCGACATCGAGTAGCGTTCTGGTGAGTTGCGTGGAAGAAACTCTTAGTGCGAACTTGCCATAGATCATGATTCGGGATGCATATGAAACTTCTGAAAATTATAACTTTTATGTCGTGAGCTAGTATATCATTTGCGAAAATAGTCTTGTTTCGTAGCGAAGTTTCCAAGAGTGAACGTCATCACTGTGATAGGGTCGACCGACACGAGTAATAACCCGTAGTTAATACAAATTTATTAAAAAAATTATTAGAATGGAAATGCTCAGCGATACGTGCTGAATTGAAAGGTTGTTCACATTGGTTTTTAGAGATACAGTACTGCTAATGGTTTGAACAAATGATGATTTCTCTGATACCTCTAATGATATCGAATGATTCCATCATATAACCACTGAAAGTAGTATCCATCTACCAGTTAGATTTAGTTATTGCAATGCGGTAATTGGTCTTTATTTATACAGAACTTGGGTCGTTGCTGCTACAATCTTGGAGGATTTTGATACGGTGAGATGAAAGTTTTAACTTCTATATTGTACATGCCCTACATACAAATTAATATGCAAAGTATTGCATTCAATTTCTCCTAAACATGATCGTGCATGATTTGTTATCAAGGAGGTTAACATGATTTGAAAGGATAGCTGTTTACCTTCCACCTTACCATTCAAAATAACTATCTATCCAGTATCATGCTGGGTTAGCCTCTTATTGATGACATTTTTAAGACTTATCACACATGGTACCGTCCCTCATTGTCGAGGTATCGTAACGGCCGAGGCTGCACGCGAGCTACGACAATGAGAGAACAAACGCTCGAGAGAGTTGGCGCGCCCTGAGGCGACGCCGTAGTACCAGAGCTACATTTACTGGAACTTCTGTTGCCACAAGCTTTTTTGTTTTAATGCAATGTTGGTCGTGATTGTGGGGATTGATAATAGAATGAATAGCCTTTAGATTCACGGGTTCGAATTTTCAAATTTCGATTTAGCTATTGCAGATAAGTATGAATGAATTATCTTATTGTTGACCTAACTGAAACTAAACCCAGCTCCATGTATCTGTCGAGAAGCGAATTATGTATGGTTCCATTAACTATCTTTTTCTTTATCTTTACAGGGCCATTGCAATCTGCTGTCGACCTGAAATATTTATGCTGTGAGTCACTAATTGTATACCATAGAACTAGTGCAAACCGAGTTGAGATTATATTGGTACTTTTGAAGAAATGCTGTGTATTTGCTTAGAAATAATTTTCTATGATGAATTCTAGTTATCCCTGTCTCAATGATCGTGTGGAAAACAACTTCTGATGCTGACATTAACGAGAAATCTGCCCAATGGTTGTAGCTTCTTTCTAAGAAGGTGCGATTCTTTTGCAGATCCAAGCTTATTTTGGGCGTCGACTTCAGCTTAAGCTCTGCGGGCGTGCCAGCTTTTGTTGGTATGTCTAAAGTTGAAAAAATTTTCGATGAATTCTTTTAACCACAGAAGGAAAGGCTAAATTTAAAATCGTTTTAAACTAGGATGCTAACCAAGCGGTCGTAGTATGATTGAACATCTGTGGTAGATTCGGCAGTTCGCATTTCTTCATACGACGTGCAATCTTGCATGATGAACGCAATACATCACAGACCTGTACTGACAGTGAGTGAGGAAAAGATGTATCTGAATATATGCTACAATTTTGTAGGCGGTGCGCACATTATTTGTACCTAACTTGTATTCTCGTTGGCAGGCAGTGGGTCGGAAGGCGGAGGAAAGGATTGGACAGCGTCGCAACTTTGGCTGCATGGAGTGATGCCAGTCTATGGTGAGTATTGAAAAGAAAAAACATTGCATGGGTTTGCTATTGTTGTTTTAGTTATACTTCTATTTCACAAACTATCGTGTTGGGTGTTCACCGTGCTGGCATCGCAGTCCGGCATTAACGGTCTCGCGTGTTCACGCGGTGGCAGAGCGAGGGACCGCGCGGTTCCGGGCTGCCGAGCTCGCGGGACTAACGTCCATGTGTTGCGAGGAAGCTTACATTTTTTGACGTTATATTTGTCAATTGTCATTGTATAAAGATCTTTTGAGACACTAAATTTTATTACGATTACTCGGCATTCTGTTCTTCCAAATAGGTTGAAGTTTGTCAGTTTTATTTGTTCGAATTCTGTTGCTTCTGTTATAAACTTTGCACGGACATTGAAGTTGAATATTTTGAGCCCTCGTCTAGTCAGCGCCTGCACCGCGGTGCTGGTCGTGTTACGGCGACGGCAGAGCAACGAGACGCCCTTTGTGTTGCGCCCTCCGTGCTGGAGAAGCGCGGTGCTCTGGCAGCGTCTCGTACTGGGGGATAAGATCGCTCAGCTTGAGTGGTTTGGGAACCCCGGTGTACATTTGAACGGAGATTAGACTGAAAGGCGATGAGCCTTGCGTGCTATTGATCTACCTCCATATTTTGTTTGAGGTCAAATGTTCACTGATTAAGAATAGCATTAATAAATCATCCAGTTCGTTGTTGGCAACTGTTCCTCATACTCAGCCTTCTCTAGGTCTGTAGTTCAGTTGTTGCCAGATCAAAGATGGAGACAAGAACCATTGGCTGCGAGCAGCACATGGTTGCCTCTCCTCGACATCATATGATTATAACAATTATGTCGCATCGGCCACAGAATAAACATATTTCCCTTAGAATGAATGGGTTAGATATGAGTGTTCGCTCTGTCGACAGTATACAAGACGCTACAATAGACGACATTCATACTAACCTGTCAACACTGCAACTGTTACTCGAAGCTCAGTTCCATGCCAAACCTATCGTGTGTAATGTATTTGTATTCATAATGTACTGAGAATGTATACAAGGGCGCTAACCCTGCACCTGCTGTCGGTACGAGTGCTCCACACGCGCCCAGAGTAACTGACGGCGTTGGTAGCCTCAGGGTTGTCCGCGCTGACTACATTTGTCTTGTAATTTTTCTTTACTTTAAATTTAATGTGCTTATAGCGATGTTCTCGTGAGTATTGTAAGCGTGTTTTGATGCGGGATGCAGTGGCGCTAAGCCCATTGCCTGGTATAAACTGGTTTATTCTGAGGCGCTAAACCCTTCGCTTGGTATTTGCTCAAGTGATCCAATAGCGCCAAGAACAACAGACAGTTTGGGCTGCCCTCTGGGCCACCTCAAGCTGACGACAAGACGTGTGTTGTTACGCACTAGCTACACTTTGTTATGTGTGCTAATTATTGCTAATAATGTTAGTCACTTACCTCATTTTGAAACGAAATCAATATGTGGACGAGTTGGTTACTTAGCGAGTGACTGCAATGGCTTCAAATATGAGTCGCCTGATACTTATTCATGATGAATAATTGCTGTATTCAGACAATTCTCCGTTAAATGCCCATGCCTTTTCTAATTTTTATGCGAGTGAACCTGTGACCATGTGGGATCATTTGCTTTCTCTAATTGCTCTCATTCAAATAATTTATGAATCAAGATATTTGTCCGACGGTCCATTTCCTCAATTACCTTAAACGGATTTTTCTCTGTACCTGCTAAACACGCAGTTATGAATCATTCCCTCCACTCCCACCTCATCTTCGTGAAGCTGTTGGTTTTTAGCAGCTCCTATTCCTAAGACATTAAACTAACCCGGCATTACTTCCATTCTGTAGCGCCCGTCGCTTGCAGCTCACAAGATGCCGAAATTAACTGCAGTCTTTGTTTGATGATCGTTGAGCCGCGGCTTGTCGCGATATGTTACTCATGACTGGGACACTTGAGTACTTAAACGTCCTATCACGATTTTCTTTATATTTGTTGATCACATTGATTGTTTCTTGTTCGCTTTCATTTTTCTTTTGTCTATCAACCATCTGGTTATTTGCATAATTCAGATTATTGAAGTGCTGTGCATGCAATTCTCCTGGAGCTCCTTTGCCTTATGCTGTGCAATTTACGATTTTGTTGGTCGAGTGAGATCGTCATGCTGAATTACAATGCTTAGCCTCGTTATTAACTTTTCCATTCTATTCAGGTGGAGGTCGACGTCTCAATGTCAACTTCTGTCGCCCAGGTTACCGTCTGGAGCTTCAACAAAGTTACGCAGAATCAACACAAGTTGATTGACTTGACGATACTAATGATGAAGCACCAAGGATGAACCAACTACATGGAGCTTTGTGGTGAGGCATTCAGGGTTGAGGCCAATATTAGCTTTTCTTTGTTGGCTTCATTCTGACGCAATGGTGCTTTTATCACCCGATCACTACCTTTGATTAAAACCAACAAGATAAGATTGACTTTGAACTGAAGAAGATAATGGGCACAAGCGAAAGCATATTTCTGTTGTTTATGTCTAAAATATGCCAAAACTTTTAGACATGTGCAAAAGCACATGTCTATATCCTCTTGTATTGTCCCGCACTTTGCTGTGTCAGTTACATCGGCCCAAGACTGCTCGTAGAAATTCGTGTGAAGTATTTTGATATGATTAGCTTGGTTTGTCATCACTTGCTCCTACGCACTTGCAGCCCACATTCACCAAGTGCCCCACATCTTGCCCGGCACAACGGCTCTTGATGATTTTTTCAAGCACTCAAACTTCTGTTTCGAGTCTTAGTTGGCCTTGCCCAGTTTTGGAACGCGATTGCAATAGCGAACGTGTGATGCTTATGAGTTTGAATTTTTATGCTCATAGAGTGTGTTCAAAAGAGTGAGTAAATGTTTGTTGTGATGAGCTTGTCTTGAAGCGTTTGCACGTCTCGCTTTTGGTGGTTCACGCACAGGCTGCTGTTAGCGGTTCTGCCGCGCTCTTCATTTTCGCTTCAATGAATTCCTTGAAACGCTTGTGTTGCTGTATGGAGATGTACATTAACACGTTGACTCCGAAGTGGTACATATGCGTACCACGAAATGTATTTCTCCAGGACGTAGTGATACATAATTCAGGTTGCCTAAAATCGGCCAAATCCGAGAACAAAAAAAGTCAAATGACTATATATACTAGTTTATTTGTAGGTTCCGCTATAAAAATTCCATTTATTTTTTTTTTTTCAGTATTTAAAATTTAATTAGGAAGTACCCCTATCATAAATTTTAGCCGGCCAGCGCAATTGAGAAAAACTAAATCTCGGAATTTGTCCGGAAAAAATGACCGTCTGGCAACCCTGTTTAAAAACGGTACAAAAATGAAATAATAGTACAAGATGAAGCAATCGTAGTCAACGTGTTAAGAAAGGCCTAGGGTCGAGATTCTATATTATGTACTAGAGGCAGCTATTTCGTGATGTGGTGTGCGATAGTTCGTGTTGCTAGATTGACATTCTGTTCATATCAAATGACCATGCTATTACTATTACTGTGCATGATGTACTTTTGATACCTCTTATGAACCACGGTTGTGATTCGAATTTTTGTTTACTGATATCATTAGTATAGATTTAGAGATTATGTAATCTCCGTTCGTGCTGACATCTCTTTCTCTCTACAGCTGCTGATAATCTGCTTGGGAACAACAGCTGCACATCATCGATTTGGTGGGTATATAATTTCCTTTTAATTTTTCTGAGATTTTTTAATCTTACAGTGTTCCAGAAACGCATTCTGTCCTTCCTATTGGAGTACTTGTGATTTTCCACATCCTCTCTCTGATCAATTTTTCATTATGTGAAAACTTGAGTAGGTATTAATGATGAATACTACATTGATACCTCTTGAATGAATAGAATGATTCTGACATGTTCACTGATGACTTATCATTTCGAGCTCAACAGCTTCACACGAGTCCATGTCTAAATATATCGTCTGGGCAGTTGGTGGAAGATGGACGTCAGAATTGTCTGAGGAAAGCGTGGCATGACCATCCCGTCTCATCCCTCTTCTCGTCCGTTGCCTCATACCGTCTGCTGCCTCATTCCGTCTGCTGCCTCATCCCATCCGTTGCCTCATACCATCCGCTGCCTCATCCCGTCTGCTGCCTCACCGACGCAATGCCAAGCAATACAGCTGCTCCCTCATAAAGAACTCCCAGAATGTTTTCCGAGGTTAGATTGTACCATCTTTTTTTCTTCTGTTGCTAACTTGGACGCACATAAAAGTCCATCTAACATTCATTGTTAACAGTATCGTTGTATGTGACGAAGTTTGCTACCTTGGAAGACTATTGTACAGCTCACTTGCTAGAGATAAGTCGTCAATTTCTGATTTCTGTTCTCTTATTGGTATCTTGCGGTGTTTGTATTCATGATTATAACAAATGGGTTCTTGAAAATCTTACCACGATGCTGAGAATCTCTTGCCTGGATGATTTTTGAAATTCAATAATTATCATCTTATCTTAAAGTTTGATATTGACAATTTATTTGTTTGTTTACAGAATCTGGCATGAAGATTGCTTCTGAGAAGTGGCCAGGTGAGAACAACTTTGATTTTATTTCATAATCAGGACCTATCATCTATGGTGTCATTATAATTATCTCCTTCGTTTAACCTCGTCACTTATTCCCACGAAAACAAATTTTTAATTCAGGAGAGTCATTATTGTCAGCAGAGCCTTAACTTGTATTTTACCACATGCTGCTGCAGTATCATACTGGTTTAGCCTCGTATTGATGACATTTTTCGAATTGCATAACTAAGTATTGGCAGCAATCGTCTGAACAATGAGTAACTACTATTTTTTGTTGCAGGTCTTCACATACCTACTTTCATTTCTCCTCTACTGGCCTTCACGAGAATCTTACCAGTTTTCCTTGGTCACACCAAGTGGCAACGTTCATCGATGGTAAGACATTTCAAGTAGATACGTATAATTATGATGAATCCTGTTGTCTGGCAATGGCATATCCTCACATGATTACAATCAGTTCTTTAATTGATTAACCTCATGAAACTACCCCCAGCTCTATGACTTCTGCTCTATTCCTTCCGTAAATTTAATTCATGACCGTCGTCTAAAATTTGTGACTTTGTTTCCCCAGAACTGAACTTGCTGTCCTCTGCTGTGCTGTCTCCACTGCCAGGTGAGAGAGGGCCGCTGTTGTCACTATTGACGGTTTCGAAAAAGCTGCTACTCTTAGCGTAAGTTTCCTGGAACAAACAAATATTTTTCCTTCTCTCAACTATAGTTTCGACTCAAATGTGCTCCGTAATTAAGTCGTTTATCAAGGTTGCATGCATATTCATCTCAGGTCCATTTAACCAGTCCTTTTTACGGTTAGACTTCGTCTCAGAATATTTGTCGCAAATTGTCGGTGTGACGCTGCTCGAGTACGATAGTTTGGCCCCATCTCATATTGTGTCCAACCTCTCAATAAAACTGATATGCTTCTCTATGATGATTTGCATTGGAATGTTGACCGATGATCACCACGATATTAAATTCTTGCATCTGAAAATTCAGTTAGTTTTCACCACTCGTTCATTTTGAACATGACGTTTAAACTTCATTCTCGTTGTTTGGCAGTTCGGTGTTTCGGGCTATTCTTTCCTTTTCTATTGCGTATGAATCGAATTAAGTTCAATTAATATCCTTTTTAATTTTGATTATTAATCGAAAAGTCATATTTGTATAGTAGTATTTTACCAGCAACAAAAGTGAGTGATCAACGGCGTTTGTCTCGGCTTGCATTCGTTGACCATTGAAACCTGAGAAGCAAATTGTCACCTGTTATTTGCAATCAAGAAGCGTGCATTTGTTCTTAGATTTGGTCTTGAATCTTTCACCCAATGATGATTTACCTACGTGGACTGAAATCCTTGATTGAAGCAAACATTTCTGATATCATGATACTTTATTTTTGGTCAGTTAATAATTTCTAAATTGTCTAATGCTTCCTGTGACCTGCAGATTGTGCGCCGGGCGCGTCGCGTCAATGCGACGTCAGAGCGTCGAAGTGTTGCATCATCTAATGCTTTAGCAAGTTAGTAAATCACATCTTTTTCAAAATCAAATTGCCTGCTTAATGATTTAACAAAACGATTGCAGCTTGTAAGTGTTTTTGTTATTGATCAATTTTTTTCTCATGTCGCTGATATATTCGTGGTTATTGATGATTGGAACAACTCGAAATTTCAATTACCTTTTCATCAATCGTCGGTGTTCAGTGCGATTTTTAAAACCATTCTGTGTTCTACTCTGCGTTCTCTTCAAATTGTCTGGTGTCAGTTGCTTTCAATGCGTAATTGCCTTTTTTTCTTGTCTTTGTTGCGTTGGAAGTTTTATTTTATTGAAGGTATGTTTCGTTGTGGCATTTGCCGTTGAGGATTGCATGGTGGTGGTTGTGGGCATTATGAAATTGAACCTCCACTTATAAGCTAGATTTTTCACCTTGCTGCTCCTCCATGTATGGATCTTGTGAACGGTTTTGAGTTGTAAGTAAAGATTTATATTTTCTGAATTTTACGCTAGTTTGAAGTTCATCATTCTAATTCGAAATTATTCCGCGATTAAATGTTGAAGATGTATTTTCCTCAACACTTCATTTGGTATTTTATTTATATCGACTGTTGCAACTGAACGGAATTGATGCGACAGCAACAGCTTTTGCCTGGGTCTCCTCAAAGTAGAGTGATTCATGTGCTGTCGTGTGTCGCTTATTGCTTCTCTGAATATAACCGCTCTATATTCATGACACATTGATACCATTAGTCACTTATCTTAACGTTAAATGAATGATTCTTTTGATGTCGTTATGAATTATAAGCTCCACTGCTGCCGTTTTCTACTTCATAAGCTACTAGGCTTACCCGGCATCTCTTCCATGCTGTGGCGCTTGTCGCTCGCAGCCCATCAGATGCCAATAATAAAAGCAGTTCTTATTATTGTTGGTAATAACGAAGCCTCTGGTCAAGCCCAGCTTCTAATGATGACTGCTACAATGAAATATGGAAATTGTCCTAGGAATCCAGTTCGATCCTTTAATGTGTTAGTTGAATTGTTAGTGTAGTGCGTAATTGCTCATATTTTATCTATTTTTTAGTGACGTATATCGAAAGCAGCTAAGAGTCAGGTTTTATTACTTGCCATGCTTCACATGTCAGGCTCTATTACTTGCCTTACACTTCTATTTTCATTTGATCATGTTCATTGTATGCTGTGCATGGTATTTATCGTCATGTGAGGTCGTCTTGTCCTGGATTATAAATACTCAACATTCCGCTATCTCTTGTGTTCAGATGGCGATCCTCGTGCGAGTGTCCGTTGTGTTGGCGCGTAGGCAGCAGACGTGCTGGCTCAACATATTCCTGCTGCGGCAACACAAGTGGACAAAATTTCCTCTCCAAGGATCAGCAAGCTATGAAGTGCTGCATGGTGAGGCTTTTAAATAGGGGCCAAACATGAGCTGGTACTGTTAGCTTGTGATGTCTAGCAAGAGCCATTCCAGTAAGGCAACCATTTTTATATTACAGATCCTATATCATGTATATGTTCAACGTAATCACGAGACTTCTCTGTGTTTATGCCTTTCTTTGCTGTTTCTTGTTACTTACTGGCAATATATCTTTCAAATATTAAGAAAAAATTGAGACAAACTTTCCAATTATTCAATGTGGTAACCGACCTCGAACATGATCCGAAAGGTAGTTTGGATTAGTTTTTAAAAACGAAGATTGCAGAATAATAATTGTTTCCCACATATGATGATTTTTTCTGATACCTCTAATGAAATTGAATGATTCTATCATATAAACTGAAGTATAATATTCATTTGTCCGTGCATTTTATTTATTGCAATCCGGTCATCAGTCTTCATTTATACAGAACTTTGGCCGTTGCTGCTGCAGTCTTGGAGCCATCTTCTTTTCAGGGCCATCGCCATCTTACGTCTACCTAAGATTTTTATATGTGGTTAGTCATTCAGTTGTATACGTATCTTTAAACTATTGCATACCGAGTTTAACTATTTATTTCTTTTAATGAAATGCTGTGTATTTGTTTGAAAATAATTGACTATGATGAATTCTAGTTATCCCTGTCTCAATGATCGTGTGGAAAACAACTTCTGAAACTGACATTGACGAGAAATCTGCCCAATGGTTGTAGCTCCTTTCTAATGTGCGATTCTTTTGCAGATCCAAGCTCATTTTGGGCCTCGACTTCAGCCCAAGCTCTTCGGGCGTGCCAGCTTTTGTTGGTACGTGGAAAGTTCGAAGATCTATCAATTAATTATTTGAAGCACACAAGAAAAGGCTTGAATTTAAAAGCGTTTTAAACTTGGATGCTAACCAAGCGGTCGTAGTATGACGGAACATCTGTGGTAGATTCTGTAGGTCGCATTTCTTCATACGACGTGCAATCATGCATGATGAACGCAATACATCACAGACCTGTACTGACAGTGAGTGAGGAAAAGATGTATCTGATTATATGCCTCAATTTTATAGGCGATGCGCACATTATTTGTACCTAACTTGTATTCTCGTTGGCAGGCAGTGGGTCGGAAGGCAGAGGGAAGGATTGGACAGCGTCGCAACTTTGGCTGCATGGAGTGATGCCAGTCTATGGTGAGTATTGAAAAGAAAAAACATTGCATGGGTTTGCTATTGTTGTTTTAGTTATACTTCTATTTCACAAACTATCGTGTTGGGTGTTCACCGTGCAGGCATCGCAGTCCGGCATTAACGGTCTCGCGTGTTCACGCGGTGGCAGAGCGAGGGACCGCGCGGTCCCGGGCAGCCGAGCTCGCGGGACTAACGTCCATGTGTTGCGAGGAAGCCTACATTTTTTACGTTATATGTGTCAATTGTCATTGTATAAAGATCTTTTGAGACACTGAATTTTATTGCGATTACTCGGCATTCTGTTCTTCCAAATATTTTGAAGTTTGTCAGTTTTATTTATTCGAATTCTGTTGCTTCTGTTATAAACTTTGCACGGACATTGAAGTTGAACATTTTGAGCCCTCGTCTAGTCAGCGCCTGCACCGCGGTGCTGGTCGTGTTACGGTGACGGCAGAGCAACGAGACGCCCTTTGTGTCGCGCCCTCCGTGCTGGAGAAGCGCGGCGCTCTGGCAGCGTCTCGTACTGAGGGATAAGATCGCTCAGCTTGAGTGGTTTGGGAACCCCGGTGTACATTTAAACGGAGATTAGGCTGAAAGGCGATGAGCCTTGCGTGCTATTGATCTACCTCCATATTTTGTTTGAGGTCAAATGTTCACTGATTAAGAATAGCATCAATAAATCATCCAGTTCGTCGTTGGCAACTGTTCCTCATACTCAGCCTTCTCTAGGTCTGTAGTTCAGTTGGTTGGTTCGTTGTCGGCAACTGTTCCTCATACTCAGCCTTCTCTAGGTCTGTAGTTCAGTTGGTTGCCAGATCAAAGATGGAGACAAGAACCATTGGCTGCGAGCAGCACATGGTTGCCTCTCCTCGACATCATATGATTATAACAATTATGTCGCATCTGCCACAGAATAAACATATTTCCCTTAGAATGAATGGGTTAGATATGAGTGTTCGCTCTGTCGACAGTATACAAGACACTACAATAGACGACATTCATACTAACCTGTCAACACTGCAACTGTTACTCGAAGCTCAGTTCCATGCCAAACCTATCATGTGTAATGTATTTGTATTTATAATGTACTGAGAATATATACAAGGGCGCTAACCCTGCACCTGCTGTCGGTACGAGTGCTCCACACGCGCCCAGAGTAACTGACGGCGTCGGTAGCCTCAGGGTTGTCCGCGCTGACTACATTTGTCTTGCAACTTTTGTTTACTCTAAATTTAATGTGCTTATAGCGATGTTCTCGTGAGTAGGTATTGTAGACGAGTATTGCGGCTGGATGCAGTGGCGCTAAGCCCATTGCTTGACATAAGCTGTTTTATACTGAGGCGCTAAACCCTTCGCTTGGTATTCGCTCGAGTGATCCAATGGCGCCAAGAACAACAGACAGTTTGGACAGCCCTCTGGGCCTTCCTAAGCTGACGACAAGACTTGTGTTGTTACGCACTAGCTAAACCCTGTTAGTTTGTGTGTATAATGTTACTCACTGAGAAACTCAATGTGTGTCTCGAATCAATATGTGGACGAGTTGCTGTTACTTAGCTAGTGAATGCAATGGCGTCAAATACATAGACTCGCGTGACACTTATTAATGATGAACAATTGCTTTGTTCGGCAAATTCTCCTTTAAATGCCCACGCGTTATCTAATTTTTATGCGAGTGAATTTGTGCCCATGTGGGTTTATTTGCTTTTTCTAATTGGTCTCCTTCGAACAATTTATGAATTAATTAAGATTTTCGTCCAACGGACCATTTCCTAAATTACCACCAATGAATTTTCTCTGTACTACCTGCTAAACTTGCATTTACGAATCATTCCCTCCACTCCTACCTCTTCTATCCGGCCCGTAAAGCTGTTTGTTCTCAACGGCTCATAAGACATTAAACTAACCCGGCATTACTTCCATGCTGTAGCGCCTGTCGCTTGCAGCTCACCAGATGCCGAGATTAACTGCAGTCCTTGCTTGATCGTTGAGCCTCGGCTTGTCCCGAAGGTTGCTCGATGACTGTGACAATTGACGTGCTATGGATATAAGTCTTTTTTGGTTCTATTTTCTGTGTCTTGTCTTGTGGGCTTATATGTATTATTCTCTTGTTTGTCTTCAATGAAGTGTTGAATTGCTTATTCTTATATACTGTAAATCTGTTCAGACGGAGACCGACGTCTGAATGGCTACTGTGGTGGTCCTGATAAGGTGGAGGGTACGACGAAGTTATGTAACCAGCCAACGCTGCTTGAGGATGCAAGATGTTCAAGCAGCTACGATGGACCAGCTACAAATTGCTTATTGGTAAAACTTTAACTTATAGCGGTCATCGTGAGCTTGCGTGTTTTTTTTCAATTCAGGCGGCTGGTGTTGCGACGATATCAGCTGCGTGTAATGGATTTTATTGCGAGTTGCTTCTCAATAATTTCCGTGCCGTTTTGTGCCAGGTAGCGGTGCTGCATAACAGCTCCTCAGCTACCTATTTATCTCAGAACCTCAAACTTGGATCCATTAAATTGCATGACGTTCACTCGGGCCAAGTCATATATTAATGAGGTTTTGTTCTCCTTAAAGCAGCTGATGGATGGCAAAAACAATTGAGAATGATGAAGTTTGTGCATATAGACTATTCTCAAAAAATTTTTTCCGTATTACAACAAATTCCAGATCTTCAGCAACGCATTTCATTCTTCTTTCATTTGAACCAGTATTTTCGCATCCTCGCTCCGATGCATACTGTAAAAACTGAAGTATTAATGATGAATACCACATTGATACCTCTTGAATGAATCATATGATTCCAACATGTTCACTGATGATTTAATGCTTTAAGATCGATATCAGCAAATGCGAGTCCATGTCTAATAGTTAGCGTCCGGGCAGCTGGTGGAAGGCGGCCGTCACAACGCCCTGCGGGAAGCTCTGCATCGCAGTTGTGTACGCTGCCTCATTCTCGCAGGTCCTCACAATGACGCTCCTGATCTCCCTTCGTAGTGAGTTTGAAATGTCTTCTTCCCTTCTGTTACAAACTTGCACAATAATAAAATCAAATCTTGAATTCAATATGAACAGTATTGTTGTCTGCGTCTCAGTTTGCTACCTAAATAAAAACGTGCAAGTTCACGTGCGCGAGATTAATCGAGTATTTCTGATTTATGTTGTGCTAATAATCACTAGCAGTGATTGCGTTCATGATTATAACAAATGGGTTCTTATAATCTTACCACGATGCTGAGAATCTCTTGCCTGGATGATTATGGAATTCAACACATTTATATCTCATCAAGACGTTTGATATTGATGATTTTCTTACTGATTTGCAGGATGTGGCCTGGCTAGCAATCCTGAAAAGTGGCCAGGTGAGGACATATTTTACCTTCTTTCATGGATTAGAGTTCAACATTAAATGTATCTTCTAGAATTAACTGCTGCATTTTAACTTGAACACTTACTCTCAAGAGAACGGCTTTGCCTTTCCTTTTACCACATTCTCACCCCTCATTTTGAGCTGTGATGCATTACGTCGCTGTAAATGGTCGCTTGTTTTAATTGGTTCTTCACGCGCCTTCCATTGTCGAAGTATCGTTGCGGCCGAGGCTGCACGCAAGCTACGACAATGAGAGAACAAATATCACTCCATTTATTCAGTATCATGCTGGTTTAGCCTCTTATTGATGATATTTTTAAGACTTATCACACATGGTACCGTCCCTCATTGTCGAGGTATCGTAACGGCCGAGGCTGCACGCGAGCTACGACAATGAGAGAACAAACGCTCGAGAGAGTCGGCGCGCCCTGAGGCGACGCCGTAGTACCAGAGCTACATTTACTTATTACCTTGAGAGCCTAGGGATATTGTGCACCAATCGATTGAACAATGAGTAACAAGTATTTTTTGTTGCAGATATTCAGTTATCAACTTGGATTTGACTTACAAGAGAAGAGCCTCAGCGAAATTTTCGCGCAACTTTTATGCTCTTATCAACTGTAAACGTTCATTGATGGTAAGACATTTCATCTAGATACGTATAATTATGATGAATCCTGTTGTCTGGTGATGGCATATCCTCACATGATTACAATTAGTTCTTTAATTGACTAACCTCATGAAACTACCCCCAGCTCTATGACTTCTGCTCTATTCCTTCCGTAAATTTAATTCTGTACCATCGTCTAAAATTTGTGACTTTGCTTCCCCAGAACTGTAAGCTGGTCCTCTGTTGTGCGGCCTCCACTGCAAGGTGAGGGCCGCTGTTGTTGCGTCTCTATTGACGGATCGGAGGAAGTTGTCACTCTTTACAAAATGCGTCCAATATTATTAAGAACAGACCTCTTCATCAACTATGATATAGACTAAAATGTGGTTTATAATTTTCATTTTTCAAGGTTGAATGCAATTCCATTTCTTGTCTTGATGACCAGTCCCATCTAATCCGGTGTCTATATCTCTCGATTAAACTTGATATGGTTCTCTATGATGATTCCCATTAGAGTGTTGGCCGATGATCACCATGATATCAAATTATTGCCACTGAACATTCTGTTAAGTTCTCACCACTCGTTTATTTTGAACAAGATATTTACACTTTATTCTCGTTGCTTTGCAGTTCGGGGTTTCGGATTCTTCTTTCCTTTCTGGTGCGTAGGGCGTAAGGATCGAGATTCGTTAAACATCTAATGACAATTTTTCGATGGAAATGGTAAAGGAACTATCATATTTTGCTAGCTAGATTTTGTACTGCAATTTGCTGGTCATATTTCACACCTAATGATGATTTACCTACGTGGACTGAAATTCCTGATTATAAACAAACTTTTCTGATATCTTGCAACTTTTCTTATGGTTAGCTGATAATTTCAAAGTTGGCTAATCCTTCCTGGTCTGATCTGCAGGTTATTAACGCGTTGCTGTGTGCAGCGGTCGAGTCGTGTTACGTCAACATGAGATCATCGGAGTATTGCATCATCAAAGGTTTTGGTTTATTTGCGTACATTGGAAGGTCTGACGTTTTTTTTATTTTTGCCATTTCATTTTCTGTGCCCTCGTGAATTTCAATTCCCTGCTGTTTTCTTGTTGAAGAAAAGTTTAATGACAATTAAAAATGGTTGGCCCTGCCTGACGTACATTCCTCATTGTGTAATTTTGTCTGCTTTTGCAGCGTTGATTGTGTGTAGAGGTTAAGTTTGTGTTATCTCTTAACAACTGCTCTTAAAAATATGACAGTTGGAACAGCCCACTGCCACGCATTAATCCCTGCTGTTCTTTCAACGTCCATCTCGATTTGCTCTTGAAATATGTAATGAAACGATCGTGAATTTGTTGTAAAATTTTGCCGAGTAAAAATGTGTAAGGAATGAACGCAGTTTCAAGCTATGGAGTCAGGCAGCGAGCTCAGCTGCCATGAAAACCTTCAAACTTCTTAGAGTTGTATTACGTCTTCAATGTAGGCTCATATTTTAGTAGGGTTCAAGTTTACCTTATAGACAGGATTTAATTTCGTGCGAGACCTGTGAAGTTTTGATTTCAGTATTATTGGTGTGAAATTATTGTGCGTCTTCGCAGATAACCGTACTGCTAACTGGAACTCTTGAAAATCGGATGAAATCTCGAAGGTAAGTTAATTTCTCTGAAAAAAATTTCTTTGTTATATTTTGTATTAATCACGTGCAATGAAACGTTTATTTATCTTACAAACGAATGTTAGTTACTAATTTGCGTGTTAGCCTGTTTAGATATATTTTAAAGCATTATGTAAATTTGCATTCTTTCGATGTTAACTTTGCCTTACTGAAATAAAATGCACTCAACTCGACTCGCATCATTCTATTCCTACAATTAATATTTTCGAATGAATGTATCTCAATTTATTGGACACAAAATTATTCAAACACCTTAAGGCTGGTATTGAGAACCGCAAAGTTTTGAATAGATTCGGCTCTTCCCTATGCGTTTCTTGGCAGCCATATGAATTAGGCGTAATCATCATGAATTAGGCAGGCATATGCATTAAGACTAGTGCCGTGTGAAACAAAGTTGAAAATAGGTTGAGTTTATTGACTATAGTTCTTTGTTGTAGCTTGTCAACATCAACAAGCCGATGAATCTGCTACACTTAGTTGCTATTTCTTCCTGAATTATTCCCATTAAGGGGGGCAACACTGTTCCCAAGACGTCCCACGATGTCGCCGAGCCAGCGTCCACGGGAAGATGGTTCCATTCGGATGTGGCTTTGGGCTAAAATGTCATCTGTGGCGGTATTGAGCTTTGCTAAAAGGAATTGATACCCGCCACCGAACCTCCGTTTTTGCATGAAATTGTGGTCTAGCCAAATCAATAAATTTTAACATTGTTGCCTGTTGAATGCATGGGTGAGGCAAATAAATTGTTAAGAATAGTATTTGGCACGCCAGCTTATGGATTGTAACTTTCCATTTTTTTCTCAAATTGATTACCGAATTCAATTTTTTCAGTTGTGGCTCTGTGGGTGAGGGTTAAGGGCAAGTCATTAATAGTAATATTGGAAATGAAAAAAGAGTGGAACTAGGAATTTATTGCAGATATATTAATTACAAGTTGGTCTTTGCAAATAGATAATTAGTTATGGAAAAAGGTGTCTCGTAAGATGTGTAACACTACAACTCAACTACTCAATCCGCAGTCATTACTTGAATACTTTGTATAACAACTGACTTGGCATTTTTTGGTCCTAAGTGAGTCATCCTGACGCAGTTTTAAGACAGGCAGGGTGGTCCATTTTTTGCAGCTCAGAGTGCCAAAGTTGTAGCAGTGAGTTCGCCGTGTTGCGGGTCAGATCCCAGCTACCTGCGATAATCCTGTTCACGTCGATAATGGGACCGGGAGTTAGAGCACAATAAACTTGAACAGTGAGTTGCGTGTTCGGGTCCGCAATAAGCTGTGCATATATCTTCGTTATGTTGAATCGGTGACTGACTTAAAAATGTTCAACCATGAGTCACATTAACAGAAAACAGGCTGGTGTGGTCCTTCGTCACCACAAGTCTTCAAACCGGCAATACAAATGTCGTGCCGAAATTGCGGAATCGGCAGCCAGTTTGCTGAATATGTAGAATCGACCAACATTTCTATACTATACGAATCTGAGGTTAGGTCAGCCAACCAAGTTTATTTTTAATATGTACGTATAAAGGTTCTTGACCAAACTTGACCTATCCTTTTAGAACTCTGTCAATTTATGTTTTCATAGTTGAACTTTATGAGGGGGCATGGAACTAGTGAGAGGCAGGGTGGCCTAGTGGTTACAGTTCAAAGTACCAAGATTGTCGCAGAGAGGCGCGGCTTCGATCCCAGCTCTGTGCGCCAGTTTCTGGTCAGAATCGGCGAGGAGGCCGGGCGGTTAAGCACCGTAGAATTTGAATCAGTGAGTTGTGAGTTTGAGACCGCAACAAGCTGTGGATGTTCTGCGATGTTAGGAATCGGCGACAGGCCTACGGCCTAATTAACGCTGAAACCGCTATTATTTATGAGGTTGACCCACGTTCAACCTTGTGTTATATTGACCACGTTCAACCTCACGTCCATACTACTTCAACCGTGTACGTACTAAGTCTAACGTCCGATTTTCTGAATTAGCAACAAATGCTGGTTCAACAAATTCGGCAAACTGGCTGCCGATTCCATAGAATCGGCAGTTCCGCAATTTCTTGATGACATATACATTTATAAAGCTGGGTATAGGGGTGGCCCAGTGGTTAAAGTCCATAGTACCAAGATTGACGCACTAGAGAGGCGCGGGTTCGATCCCAGTTCTGTGCGCCAGTTTCTGGTCAGAATCGGCAAGGAGGCCGGGCGGTTAAGCACAGCAGAATTGTAGCAGTGAGTTGCGAGTTCAAGCCCGCAAAATGCTGTGAATGTTCTGCGATGTTAAGAATCGGCGACAGGCCTACGGCCTACTAAACGCTGAAACCGCTATTATTATTATAAAGTCCTCAACCATGTAAAGGCCTACCGGTAATCATCGCTGATATCGCTATAAAACTAAACATAAGACAAGCATATTCAAGTTATCCGCGGTTTAGGAATCACTCAACCTCGTCATAACGGTTGCAAGCTCAATACCGTTTCTCATCGATTTCTGTTCACGTTAATTCAATTCAAGCATGATGGTTAAAATGATCCGTGAACTTGCTTCCTTCGTGCAATTCCATTAATGATGAAATATTTTTTTTATGTTTTTAAATACATCTAAATGTATTAAAAATAGATGAAACAACATATATTTGTTGTCAAGGTTCGATTAATTGATCGAATTCTTTGTGTTACAGTGATGCCACTGATGTGTGTGACAGTCACACTGTGACTCACAGTGTCCAAACGACTCACAGTCTGTGAGTCGTTTGGTTGGGCCAGTTTGGCTGTAGAATCTGTCTATTCATGCTATTGCACCATTAACCAAGTCACTACGTGAGTTCGTTCACTCCCATGATAATTGTTAATCATGTTATAAATTGATTTGTCAATCATCAATCTTGAATCAAAATAATATGGTTGATCAGAGACTCAGAGTCTTTTTCAGAGATGCCACATTGTTTTTCAAGTAGGGTAAACTGTAAACGCAGTAGCATGGTGGCAGGGAATTATTGTGAGTACTTATGCGCCAGACTGGAATAATGGGCAGGAGTCACCCGTACAAGAGCAAAAACCACCCGTCAACGAGGGTCAATTTTACCCGTGGCCATGTATAATTTCACCCATAGTGGCAAAGCAGAGAGTTTTTTAGACTCTTCCTCAAGTTCATTTTTGAGTCCTATAAGTAGACCAGTAAAGTATCTTGGATACCAGAATTATCATACATAAGAAATCTGTTAAAATCTTGAGTAAATGAGGAATTTAAAAATGAACTGATTCTAAAAAATCTCTGGTTTGCCACTATGATTTCACCCGTAGCCAATGGCCATGGTTTTCTTCACCCGTGGCCATGGATAAATTTAACCGCGCCCGTAGAGCTACAATTTCAACAGTAATGGCCAAAAGCCCTTAAACAGCACATCGCCAGAAAAAATTCATTACATGTAAGGCTGTACTGAATTCGTCGTACCTTTTCTACTGGTGTCAGTAGCGACCTTGTAACTTCTACTGAGCACAATGTTTTCTACTGAGCACAACGTGTCTTTCAGTAGATTCCTCTTGCTTATCCGTGAGTGACGCGCACAATTAACAATATTGGGATTTTCTCTGTGTTGCCTGACGTAACGTTCATGCCGAGGCCGATTTCTGACGACCTGCAAACCTGTTTCTAGTTGCCACTTGCCTGGAACGTTTTTTTTTCAAGGCGGAACGCTTTTTTTTAAGTGAACCTCTAATCTTAGATTTCCACTCTGCCACCCAGACCCAGTGAGTGAGATCATTGAAAAATGTGTCAAAGTTGATAGTTGACCTTGCTCTACCAAATAGTGATAAACTGTTTGTGTAGAAAGAATATTATGGTTTGAGACTCTTAAATAATATGTCTGTGAATATATTAGGAATCCTTTAAGTATACTTGCCATACCCAGGATGGTGCTGTTTTCCGCGGATTAATCCAGCGTATAGAAGGTTCTGAGAACTTGCCCCGGCGTACGCCTTGGCGTACATCAGAAATAATTTGTGTACTTGAGGTACACCCCCGGCGTACATCAGGGAAAATTTGTGCACTTGGCGGCAGCGCAGACACCCAACGTACATCAGGAAAAATGTCGGCCCTGCGGCGTATCGCAGTACCGCCACTATGGTACCTCATACAATACACGCATACATTTCTAGGGCTGTGAGCGCAGGGCATGGTAGTACAAATAGAAATTGTTAGCTAACACACAAATTTATTTTAAAAAAATATAGATACACTTACGGTACTGGTATATAAGATTTTAAATGTTTTGATACTTTTTTTCGTTTCAGATTCTGTGGCCAATTATAGATGCCGACACACTAATGTCGGCTGGGAACAAAACGAAGTCCGATATCCGCTGCTGCGATTGGAGAATCTCTGCTCTCCACATCGCCTTTATCGAACCACTACAAGCAGCTGCATTTTGCAGAAAATATTCCCATCGTTCATTCGATTAAATAAATTTATAAGAAATTATGTTGATATTTCCTCTTTCCTTCACGTAATTAGTGAGAATCAAATTTTTAGTTTATAAAAAAACTAGATGATACATTACGAAGTGCGCAAGCCGTAATGGATCAATCCATCAAATCCTTGTCTTGATCGAAAAGGGCGCTAAATTGTCAAAGAGCTAAAAAAATATTTTGATAATAAAAATAGTTACGTTTGTCGAAAATTTATAACACGTTATAAGCACTAGCTTCGAGAGGAAGGGCATCAATCAACTACGTAGAAACACTGATCTGGTTACGGTCACTTGTTTAATGGTTACATTTTTTATCATGCAGGCTGAACTCATCCATCCAGATTCCATTAAACAATCTTGAATTAACAAAAACGACGTAGCGCGTAGAGTCACCACCTCTGAGTATACCGTGATTGTAGTGTCAATTGAGTGTCAATATACTGTAGTGTTAATTGAGTGACAATTACTTTCTGTACCAGTAGAACAATTCACCAGCCGGTCTTCAGATTCTTAGCAAGCCTAAAATATTTTCCAGACCACTGAACAGATTCCGATTTATCTAATTAACTGTTGACATAAATTTGAAACAACTTTCAATGATAGTTACGCTGTAACAAATTTTTTTATTCACCTCCCGTTACTATAACCTCAGGTTAGTAACCTCGCGACAGGTTACTAACCTCAGCTTTAATACCGTCTGGACCCTTTTGGGACAAAACTT